TGATAACTCTCAAAGATTACTAACCTGAAATATCCAAGATATTTATTAAAGAATATATTTACACAATATAAATATAATTATACAACTATAACATGGAATGGTCAAATATGAAGTGCAATGGAGCATCACACAACATACCCGAACATAGCATATTAAGTTTACGGGTGACAGGTTAGTAACAATGAGAGATAGGAATAATAGAAATATAGAGAGATATAACGGTATAGGATCAGGGGTCAAATAACATGTAACGCATTTAGATACAGTTAATATATTTTATTTGAAACGATTAACAAAATATAAGGCAGTGTACATTTTACATAAATTCTTATCCTACGACATACTCCTCCAGGTTCGTTAAAAAGGCTCCTGACTTTTCTGTACGTCTCCCAATATTACAAATTACACTCACTAATATCTTAAGTATAAACTTATGTTATAAAAGTTAAATGACAAATGCAAAATTAACAACAAAAAGTACAAAACGTGGGTTACAAAATTTACAAGTACTCCACCAGAGGTGTTATATTCGCTCTATTTAGTATTACTAACATTTGTAGATGTCTACAAATGAGTACTTACACAATGAATAAGTTGTCATTAAATTTAATTCAATGAAACAAAAAGAAAACATCTTATTGGACATCGACAACAAGATCTAACAATCATTTTTAAGATGTTAAGTTGCATGAATAACCTCCAGAAAGGGTAAGTATACATCATTTAATGGTAAGTATCTGACATTTGCACAAAAGTCGAGTCCATCAAAACCCTAAGGGTGCAAATAGAAGCACATTAGATAAAGGTAAGTAATATCATCGCACTGATAACTATCAGTTTTAACATTATTCGTGAGAATCACATCAAATAGGTGTTATATACGAGTAGAGAAAACAAAATAAGAACTCATACTTATATACATGTAGTAACGTACTGATAAGAGTCATCAATATTTTATTTGAATCTAAAGTTTCCAGTCGCCTGTCGACATCCAATTTGGCTGCCTTCGTGTCCTTACTGGTCTAGATGACTGTTCAGTTGTATTTCATCATCATCCTGTTCACCTGAAATAGAAATATCAGAATGAGAAAAAGAACAATCATTATTCAGATTCATACCATTCTCAACAGAAACGTGCTCTGCATCTGTAACATCTACGTCTGTTTGTAAATCACCGGAGTCATCTACAATGTCAAGTTCCATTTGTTTATCTTCAACTGGAACATCTGAAATAGACATAAATGGCAAAAGGAGGTTTCTATGTAGAGTTCTTGTTTTCTTGAAACGAGAACCTTCCTTTTTAACCTCGTAAACAGGTATGTCCTCAAGAGGTTGACTAACAACAATATAAGGACTGTGTTCCCATTTGTCTGCTAGTTTTTGTTTTCCGCGTATTGAAACGTTACGGACTAGCACTCGGTCTCCAGGATGAAGAACAGAACTTCTAGCTTTTTGATCATAATAAGCCTTGTTTGTTGCAGATGTTTTAACAGCGGTTTCTCGAGCCTTTGCATATGCGGAACGGAGACGGTCGTTAAGTTTAATCACGTACTCCGAATGGATGCTTGATGACAGACCATCAGTATGTAACCCTAGAAAAGCATCAATGGCGAGTCTAGGATGACGTCCAAACATAAGAAAGTACGGAGAGAAGCCGACACTTTCATGACGGGTTGCATTGTATGCATGGACCAGACTCGGAACATGGGCTTTCCAATCGGACTTTTGATGCTCCTCTAGAGTCCCAAGCATCTTGAGTAACGTTTGATTAAATCTTTCGACCATTCCGTTCCCCATAGCATGGTAAGGCGTTGTTCTTGTTTTCTCAATGCCAGCCAGACTGCAGAGCTCTTTGATTAGATGCGACTCAAAATTCTGTCCCTGGTCACTATGAATCCTACCAGGAAATCCGTAGTGGACTATAAAATTATCAAACAAAATTTTGGCCGTTGTCTTTGCAGTCTGATTTCTAGTAGGATATGCCTGTGCATATCGACTGAAGTGATCGGTCAGGACAAGGATGTTTTCAAAACCTCCTTTACATCTCTCCAATGACAAGAAGTCTACACAAACCACTTCCATTGGTGCCGTTGATTGTATTGGAGTCAACGCTGCAGTTGTTGAGAGAGACTTCCTTTTGATGCAACGATCACACTTCCTGATTGATTTGGCGATAAAACTGTCCATTCCAGGCCAATAAAATCTTTCCTTGAAAAGCGATGTTGTACGATCTCGACCTTGGTGACCAAGGTCGTCATGTAAGCATTTGAAAATCTCCAATCGAATGGCTTCAGGTAAAACAAGTTGAAGATGATCACCATCTGACAATGTCGATTTTCTGTAAAGAACACCTTGTATTAAGACAAGGTTCGACCATTCTCTAATATATGTAGAAATAGTTCGGTCAAAAGGCTTAGCCGGTTTTGTTCCGTTTCTTAAATTGTCAACTATCTTAGATACTGTGGGATCATCTGCTTGTGCTTTTATCCAGGTTGTTGAAGAAACGCTTTTATTTCGTAAGAGATCTTCTGGAATGGAAATTTCACCAGTTTGGATTGCGTTATCAGGCTCATGGACGGTATGTATGAGAGGTGTTAGTTCTGTTGTAGCTGCATTGGTAACAGCTTTAACAACTTCTTTTGGAACTATCCTGCTTAGTCCATCAGCATCTGAATGATTGGCTCCTTTCTTATATTTGGTCGAAAAATCATAATTCGCCAAAGCTGCTAGCCATCTGTGACCTGTGGCATCTAGCTTAGCAGAAGTATTCACATAAGTGAGAGGGTTGTTATCAGTCACAACCTCGAATTTCGCGCCATACAAGTAGTCATGAAACTTTTCAGTGACAGCCCACTTGAGTGCGAGAAACTCGAGCTTGTGAGCTGGATAGCTCCTCTCACTTTGTTTCAAACTTCTGCTAGCAAACGCAATGACACGATCCTTTCCGTCTTGTTTTTGATAAAGGATTCCACCAAGTCCTAAAGATGAAGCATCGACATGTACAGTAAATGGTTTTGTATAATCTGCATATCCAAGTACGGGAGGGTTTGTCAGTTGTTCCTTGATATCATTAAAAGCTTGTTCCTGAGGAGTATCCCATCGGAAAGGAACACGTTTATGCTTACTTATAGAAGAAGATTTTCTTTGTTTCTTAGCTGGCTGTCCGATTAAGAGGTCATTTAGGGGTCTGGCTAAAGCTGCAAAATCTTTTATGAATTTCCTATAATAGCCAGCAAACCCTAGAAACTGACGAACTTGTTTTGTTGATGTTGGTGTCGGCCAATTTCTAACTGCTTCAGTTTTGGAAGGATCAGCTTTTATACCATCTTCAGATACGACGTGGCCCAGGTAGGTAGTTTCTTTTATAAAAAAATCGCACTTTGATGGTTTTATTTTCAGGTTGAAGTCTGCCAAACGTTGAAAAACTGCATCTAGTCGGTCCAGGTGAGTATTAATATCAGCGCTGAAAATGATGATGTCGTCCAAATAGATGAGACAGTCTCTTAAATTAAGGTCTCCCATACATCGTTCCATGAGCCGCTGGAAAGTCGCTGGGGCGTTACATAGGCCGAAAGGCATCCTATTTGCTTCATAGAATCCTAAACCTCCTACTTGGAATGCGGTCTTTTCTTTGTCAGCCTCTTCAAGTTCGACTTGCCAGTAACCAGACATTAAGTCAAGTTTTGAAAAGTATTTGGCCCCAGAAAGCATATGGAGAGTGTCATCAATTCTTGGAATGCCATAGGCGTCCTTCTTAGTCCGAGAATTAAGTGCACGGAAATCGACGCAGAAGCGGATGGACCCATCTTTCTTTCTCACGATGACAACATTTGATGACCAGGGGCTCTTAGATGGTCGTATGGCTCCAATATCAAGCATGTCTTTTAGATGTTGTTTTATCTCAGAAAACAGTGCAGGTGGTATTCTTCTGTAAGGCTCCTTAAACGGCTTATTGTCTGTCAGTTCAATTCTATGTTTTATTTTTGATGTATGGCCTAAATCTAAAGGCGTCTTTGGAAAAATCGATTGCCATTTTTCAAACAATTGCATGACTTCTTCTTGCTGTTCCTCATTGAGTTCTGAATTGCTCAAGTTTATTCCGAACTTATTTTTAACTTTTTGTGTGATGTTTCCATTAGTTTCTATAATATGTGTTTCTTTTTCTTTTTCAGATGCAGACTGTTGATAGACGATCGGACCTCCATTGGCAAGTATATTTTCTTTTTCAGAATTAGGTAAGTCATCCTTAGCGTCGAAGATCGGAGCTTGATCCAACACTTCAACTTGCTGTAACTGGCAGATTATCGACTTTGCTTTTACTGATATAGGTTTTGCTGAAAGATTACACAATTTTATAGGAACTCGAGCTGTTCTTCCACGATTGTTAAGTTTAACCACTCTAGGACATACCATTGGTTTATCAGGACCTGAGTCATCAAGATCTTCTGTGATTGCTGCGTCTGCGTTGATGTTCTTTCGCAGAAAACCAGTTATTGTTTTAGTTTGCATTGGATATAACAGGAAGTCCTTTGTTGATTTTACTTTACCAATACATGTCTGATTTATCATTCCAAAAGCTGATTTCCATTCATTTGGAACTCCTTCATCTGAATTTTCTGTATACAATCTTGCACTTTCACGAATGATGTTGGTACCAACTATTACTGGAACTGTGTCATTATATTCTGTTGCTTTTACAATAAGGAATGGTACTACCAATCCTGACATGTTACTGTTTGGAACTTTAACTTCGGCTTCGATGTATCCAAGATAAGGTATTTCTTTTCCATTTGCTCCGGTTATATTCAATTCAAATTCTCCGATGTCATGTAATTTTGGCTTATCCTCCATTTTCTTGAAATATGTCTCTGAAATTGTACTGACCATAGAACCTGTGTCGATCAGGGCTTTAACCTCAATGTTGTCTATAAAAATTGTATTTTCATTTGCCTTTCCTACCATCCTCTCTCGTAATATATTTCTCTTTATGTTCGGGCTGTTTACTTCTTTGCTTCCATCTTGCCCGTCGATAGAAGCTCCTTCTCGTTTAAATTGGCTTTACTTGTTTCTTTACTCTCATTTGGCTCTTTCTTCTCTGAAAGACTTCGGTCATACTTTGTTGACTCTTGTTGGTTACTTTCGTTCCTTCTAAAACCTCTTCCTCTATTTGAAACTCTATATCTGCTGTTAAATCTTGGCTGGTATCCTCCTCTATATGTATAATTTTGATCTTGACCTTTAAGTTTTCCAACATCGGCCTCTAATGTTTTCATTCGATCAAGAAGCTCTTGAAGAATAGTTAATTTTTCATCTGTCTCTTTCTGTTGGTTAATATTTGCTTTCACTTGAGTTGATAAATTCTCTTCTTCTTCTAGCCTTGCCTTTCGTCTTAATTTTTCAAACGTATCTGTTGACTCATACGACACTCTTGTGGCATTCTTAAGTTTTTCAGAATATAATCCTCTCCAAAAGCGTTCTTTAAGTTTACTTTCTTTTTTACTCTCACTTATTTCTCCCTTTTCTACAGCTTTCTGAAATAAGGTTTCTACTCTAATTCCCCAAGCAGAACATGATTCTCCTTCCTTTTGCGTTGCTGAGTAAAAGTTTTGAACAGCTTTGTCTCCTGTCTTAATATCACCGTAGATTTCTCTTATCTTTTCCAGAATTTCTTTTGCTGATGCGGTTGGTTTAATTGTCAACAATACTTGTCGTGTATCTCCAATCAAGGAGTGTCGAATAGCTTGCACAATAGCATAGTCCGGATACATCTGGGTTCTTAATAAACAAAATATCTCCATCTCCCACTGCTCAAAATCCTTGCCATTGAAATGAGGTTTCTTCGGTGGTCCAAGTTTAAACATCGGATAGTCGCTGTCTTTTTGTCGGCATTTCTCTGTATAGTTATGTCGAACAAAACTTTCTTCTTTATTATATTCTGTTCCATTATCTTTAATTTCCATTCTTTTCAGTCGTTCTTTTCTTGTCTGTAATTGATTTGCATCTGTTCTTTGTAGTCTTTCTTTCAGTAGCTTTTCTTTTTCTTTTAACAATTTTATCTTTGTGCTAAGTGTATCATCCTCTTTTCTGTTATCTTGAATCTCCTTCTCAAGCATTTCATTTTCATATCTTTTCCTATTCAAAACTAGTTCCTGATCTTCTAATAGTTTGATTCTCTCTATCAATTCTTTTTCAGCTTTTCTCTTATTCTCAATTTCAGCCTGTAACCTCCTTTGATTTTCTACAAATAACTTCTGCTTCTTACTTTCAACTTCTTGTAATTTCCTGAGCTTTAAACTTTCCCTTTCAATAGAACTTCTCTGACTTCTAATCTCCTCATTTTCACTTTTAATTTCATTCAATTTCATATCCAAACTCCTCACACTTTGTCCACTCCTATAACTTTTCATCCGAGTAATACTTTTGTCCGATGCATTGTCACTGTATTCAGTTAACTTTCTAGTCCCTTTTATATCTTTCATTCCTTGACCTGTTGTGTTTAAAATTTCATGTCTATCCAAAATACTGTCTGTTCTAACATATCCTTTATTTGTATAATCTCTCTGATCTCTTATATCATCTAAAGCTTTATCTAGCATCTCTATGTGGTCATCTAAAAATGCAAAGTTACTTTCCAATGATCTATTTTGATCTTTTGGCTGTACTAAATTTTGTGGCTCATTATTCTCCAAGTCTTGGATATCGTGTAATGTTGTAGCATGTAGGAATTCATCGATTGTGTTCAAATCAGATAATTCACTTTCTTTATCACTTTCTTGTTGATTTATATTTTCCATGTCAAGTTCAAAATCATCTGCATCAAATTGTCGTTGTATCGTTCGATGTTCAATCCTTTCTAATTCTTCAAGTCGTTTCCTTTCTCTTTCCTCCTTTTCCTCCTGCATCTGTCTTTCTCTTTTTCTATCTCTTAATATCCTCCTCAATTCACGTTCTGTTAAAGCTTCTGCCATTTTGAATTAATTCCAACTTTACCCCTTTTAGAATGATTACACAAAATACTTCAAATGATTTGTTCCATATGTATGTTTGTAATATGTCTTGTATTCTACACTATACATTCAACACAAAATTGTTCGTGTCTAATATTTCACACCATATATACCACACACTATTATTTAAAACACAATTATATCATCACGTAACCACACAATTATATCACACACAACCACAAACAACACAGTGATATCAACTTTTCCGACGTGTCGAGTATGTGTCACCATACAAATTACACTTCACGTATATAACACAACTGAATTCAGATATACATGTATTTATAAATTTATTTCATTTTAATGATGTCTTAAATTTATTGTGTTGTAATATAATAAACACTAATTATATTTTTTTTTCGTAGAAAGATGTAATACATTTTATAATAACCGGCACTAAAGATTATTATAAAATGAACTACTAGTCTTTTATACAATAAGATAAAGCTGCTTTTTTTTTTAAAAAAATCAGCTCGTGCAAGATTCGATCTCGAGATCTCTTGCGTGCTAATCAACTGCACTAACCATTACACCAATATACAATCTGATAAATGTCTCAATCTATCAGATAGTATACACTATATATCGCGTAAACGTGTTTGCTTAGTTTCGTTTACTTGCAACGCGAACGACGAAAATGACCGTTAAAATTTAATATAAGTTTCTGATAAATACTCCAGAAACAATTAAACTTTAATAAATACAACAAATTACTGTTTTTCGAACACTAATCAATTGTATTCCCGAGTAAAATATCCGAACCTTGCAAGGATTTGTATTTTCTTGGACACAACCTTAATTGCAAAATTTGCAAACAAGGTATATGCACATAAAGAGTAGTCGACTTTCTTATTTTTAATTCTTATCTCTTTTCTAAAGAAAAGAATTACAAGTTATGGAGAAAAAAAAACACCACAAAAATATAATGTGAAAAAAAAATGCGACGTTACTTGGTTTCGATCTCTAAACAATAGGGGTGAAAGGCGAACACGTTAACCACTGGGCTATCAGGGAATAGATAGTGGTAGAGAGGTAATAGTGGTAGTGTATATCAATACCTTTCGCAACGGGTTGAAGAAATAAGTTACACCATCCAATTTTTGGTCATGTGTTAAAAGCTACAAAGTATATTAAGCGTTTAAATGTTTTGAACAGAAGCTTTATCAAAATATCTTGAACAACAATTTACTTAAGATAAAGCTTAGTTAAAAATCTAAAGAAATTTTAATTAATAAAAATGACTACTATTTCTTCAAAAATTTACATTCAAAAATTAAAGCAAAGTTGTTACCTTTTATATATAAATCCTATATAAAATTAATCCAACACTTAAATCACAATATTCACTACTTATCACAACCACACTATTTACACAATTCACAAACAAAATAATCTGTCAAAAATGTCAAACTTTCACTTGAAGTGAAAATTATAGAGTCCGTGGCACAAATCCGACAATGAAAAGAAATCCAGCGACGAGGCTAGCCTTTCCGGTAAGTAATCCTGTTACTCGACGTCTCGAGTTAAGATTCCATGGAAATAATTAAATAAGGGCCCTAATAATAATGAAGGAGTTTGTACGCACGTGACAATGTTTATAAATACACGCAAATACGGACGGGATATCCAACAAAATTGATGATGTCAACTAATCACATGGTTTTAAAAACCAATAGAAATACTAGGATCCTGGCGGGAAGAAGGTAATTGGGTCATATGCAAAAACCGCACGGGTATTAACCAATAAAAATCCTTCTTCGCACAATATGAAGAATGTGTTGTATACACTTTAATTCCAAGCATAACAGAATATAAGTATTCCTCTGATATAACAAATCACTGTCGTAGAAATAATCAGGTGTCTTCTAAGTCAGCCTTGTTAACTGATCTCTTGTAGATTATCAATTAATCACACGTTATGGGCGCCATTGTCGACGTAACCCAGTCGGCAGTTACTTGTATTATAGGTGGGGTAATATATCGACTGACACAAGACACAACAAATGCAAATATCTGAAATATCCAAGATATTTATTAAAGAATATATTTACACAATATAAATATAATTATACAACTATAACATGGAATGGTCAAATATGAAGTGCCATTAACAATTATAACATAAGGTTGAGTGTATGATACAGGTATGTAATAACTACATGTACAATTAGGTAAGTATTCCAGGTAAGTATTGTAAGTAAACATCTCTATAACTTATCAAAAACCTATTTAAATATACCAATAAAGACATTCTGTAATAATTTAATAGTTTAAATTATAACTCTCAAAGATTACTAACCTGAAATATCCAAGATATTTATTAAATATTAAATATATTTACACAATATAAATATAATTATACAACTATAACATGGAATGGTCAAATATGAAGTGCAATGGAGCATCACACAACATACCCGAACTTAGCATATTAAGTTTACGGGTGACAGGTTAGTAACAATGATCGAGAGATAGAAATAATAGAAATATAGAGAGATATAACGGTATAGGATCAGGGGTCAAATAACATGTAACGCATTTAGATACAGTTAATATATTTTATTTGAAACGATTAACAAAATATAAGGCAGTGTACATTTTACATAAATTCTTATCCTACGACACAATCGTGACAATTCGGGCGATTCCGTCATACTGCGGAATCAGACGAAGTAATATTACGGAAATCTAAGCTATTTTAGTTACTTCGGTTATCCCAGTTTGTTTATATAAATAGGATTTCTATTTTTACTCGATTTATCGGTTTAAACCGTAATAAATTATAAACGAAATTGTTCCGTTTCAATTGTTTTTCAAGACGCAAAAGTTAGTTTCTTTTATAATTGTTTTTTTTTGTCTGTATTAGTTTTATACAATAGATAATGGTGACTGTAGTAGTATTCCGTCTTCAAAGGGTGGTCCTGCTTACCAAATCAAGCATGATCGAGTTATATTTAGATCTACTGAACGCAATTCAACATCTTGGTGAGGTAATCTAAAAATAGCACATGCATATCATTAACCTTGCCACGTGCTGATCTACAGATAGCGCATCGTATTTGTGATCGTGCATGCTTATTAATTGGTACCACGTAACGAAGTATTTTAGTGCATTTACTCGTCTATAAAGCAAACGAATGATTTCTCTGCGAAAAAGGGGAAATGAAATGTGCATACAAGGCACAACTGTGCAAGCCTTTCCTTTTAAAAGGAAACTTTATTTTCTTTTTCTTTTTTTTCCGGTCATTTTATCTTTCCGGTATTTAGTGTTTGTATTTATGTGGGGGTGGAAATCCCGGAATCCGGGACGCCCGGGATCCGGGATCGTATTAGATATAGAGGAAAAACTAATAAACTATATTTGTGTTGATTATTGTCGTAATGAACGGCCATTAAACGTTAAGTTTTTATTTTTTATTGTATGTAATGAACGTTAAATTAATTTAACTTAGGATATAGATATATTTAGAGCTATTTATTAACAAACTTAAAATGCGGAAATCACAATACTTATAACTATATGCCTAATTAATTGGAAACATTAAAGACTATATTCTTGAATTGGTCAAACCACGGGATCCCTATATGTTTTAATACGATCCCAGCTTTTCTGAAAACTATATTCTTGAACTGGCCAATTCCTGGGATCTCTATATATTTTAATACGATCCCTGCTTCTCTGAAAACTATATTGAACTGGTCAATTTCGGGATCCCTATATTTTTTAATACGATCCCGGCTTTTCTGACTGAATTGATTGACAACTTGTGTTTACTTTAGGACTTGTGTCTGTCATTCATTCCAGTACTAAATAACATATTACAATTTAACTTCGTATAAAGAGACATCTTTATGAATTCTAGAGTTTCTAGGGTTAGAGTCGATGACTTCTAATCAAGTTACCTCTCTGGCGTGGGTTCGATCCCCTGGAGATGCTTTGGTAGTTTAGCGCGGAGGAAGGTAGTCTAGTACTGGTGTAACTCTCCAGGAACGATGGTTAGGAAACTACCCGCCTATATGACTGAAATACTGTTGAAAAAGGCGTAAAATGAAACAAACAAACAAACAAACTATCTGTTTACATGCATCTTCATATATACTCATATTCCTCTTTGTTAAACTGAGAGAACTGGCTTCCATAACTTTATATGTCACTTTTATTTTGATGTTCGCTGAAGTCTCTTCAGCTAACAGAACTGTCATTTTAACATTTAAACACACCCCTGAAAAAAACGAAGCGAGTCGCTACTAGCTTTTTTAAAAGCTAACCTTGTTAATTTTACTAAAATAGTTCATAAGATATAGATTTATACCCTTTAAAGCGGAGAGATTTGGTCAAGAACCTTGAGCAAATGGGCTTGCTTAATCTGGCAGACACATAAAATGTACTGAAGCAGAACTGGCTGAGAATTCCATTCAACTCAGCGAAACAGATCCCCCACAATGCTTTTCAGAAGAGTTTTGTACTCGGATCTCAATGTTGAGTGACATTCAACAAAAGTATTTCGTTTTTCGAGAATGTTGACAATTTTGAAGATGGTGTGAAAATGTATCTCGCTACTCTCTCACTTGCTTTCTATCCAATAGCTGTCAGTTAATATTGATATATTTAAATCTATTTGAGAATCTTCCTGCGCACCACCTGTTATATGTAGTTTTGAGTAGATGTAGTGAAATAAATACCAACAGTTCCTCTGCAAATATTGTTAGTTTACTGAACTTCTTGACCCTTTAAATTACTTTCCCTGAAAATCTTTGCAGTGTGAACCTGTTTGAATTTCGTAATAACAAATCATGTCAAATGACTCATTTCTTTTACAAAATTTCAAAAAATCTTGCTCGAAGTCAAAAAGCTTGCATAGTGATAGGAATGACCTGATCAGTACAATACCATATCATTTGATCCTAAAATATGTAATAACTACTAAACAAATAAAGCTCCTTAACCCATTACTTAATGAGCATTTTGTGAAAAATGGGGGCCTAAATAAGGCATTTTTTTACCATTAGAAACACCAAAAAAAAGGGGGTAAAAAGGCGTTTAAAGGCGTATATATCGCGTAATGGGTTAACAGAACATCATGAAATTACTTGAAATTACCCAAAATCGCGTTTTTCCATGTTTAAACATGGCCTAACAGATAAATTTGAAGAAAAATTGTTGTTTTGTAGATTTTTTGATATTTTTTTTTCATAAACCCATAACTTCATGAGTATTTTGTGAAAAATGGCTGTTTTCATTGAAAATTCTCCCGTTACAAGTTCAAATTGCTATAAAACTATAAAAACTACTTCAATACTAATCAAACTTGGCACAAATGTTGACTGGACCTTTGCTTTTGTAATTACATGCACAGGCTTTTAAATTTCCTGATTCCATGGCAACCAGGGAACATCTCAAATTTGCAAAAAATCACTATTTTGCGTTAAATTTTTTTCAATCAAAATTTATTATAAAGTGCTGCAACTTCTCAATGGATAGAGATAGAGTCAAATGCTTTTCAGCGTTTGTTACACGCTACCTTATGATTTATCTGGGGTCATTTTTAGCCTCTCACAATTCCAAAATTTTCTTGGCGATGAGGGGGACTGCCGCCCCCTTCAACCCCCCCCCCAACAGAAGGGGGCACATCCCCCTTCTGGCAACCCCCTGATGTATCTTTTGGTTGGGGCCGCGCCGAAAAAGTGGTCGCTTTTTTAAACAACATTTCTCAAACAAAAACAAGTGTTGGGGGCCTAAATAAGGCATTTTTTTACCATTTGAGACACCAAAAAGGGGGGGGGGGGGTGAAAAGGCTTTAAAAGGCGTATATATCGCGTAATGGGTTAACAGAAAATGATGAAAATACTTGAAATTACCCAAAATCGCGTTTTTCCATGTTTAAACATGGCCTAACAGATAAATTTGAAGAAAAATTGTTGTTTTGTAGTTTTTTTTTTTTTTTCATTAACCCATTACTTCATGAGCATTTTGTGAAAAATGGCTGTTTTCATTGAAAAGTCTTCCGTTATATGTAATCAAACTTGGTATAAATATTGACTGGACCATTGCCTTTGCAAACAACATGCTCAGGCTTAAATTTCCTGTTACCATGGCAACGAGGGGACATCTCAAAATTGCAAAAAATCACTATTTTGCGCTGATTTTTTCCATCAAATTTGACTTTAAAATGCTGCAACTTCTCAATGGATTGAGATAGAGTCAAATGCTTTTCAGCGTTGGTTACACGTTACCTTATGATCGATCTGTGGTCATTTTTAGCCTCTCACAAGTCCAATATTTTCTTGGCGATGAGGGGGACTGACGCCCCCCTTCAACCTCCCCCCCCCCCAAAGCAAAGGGGGCACATCCCCTCTCTTTCTCATCTTTTGTTGTTTTTTGGATTTCTCTCTTCTGTTTAACTATTTCCTCACTCGTCAAAATAGTATGGCTCGTTTTTTTTGCAACATTGTTTTTAGTTTCTTTTATACTTTCGAGTTTTGGGGGCAGAAATACTTCACTTATACTATTGTCAACATCAAGAGCGGTTTCAACTGAAACCTCAATAAATGCATTATCATCTACACAATCCATTATTAGATTGTATAGGCCTACATTGTAGATATAGTATGACTCTGAATAAAATTTAGTAAATCTGATCATTCTGTTTTTATCTGTTTATCTGTTTTTCATACATTGATACATATTTGGTAAATTTTATTTGAACAAGAATGCCATTTTTTTTAAAAAAAAAAATCCTAATTATGAATTTCAAAAAACAAATATTCTCTCAATGTCTATCTGGCCGAAACGTCCAGGACGTGTAAAGACCAAAACCGAAACGTCCAGGAGGTGTAAAGTCCTGAAATCCATTAAAATAGGTTGCACGTAATCCGGCTATGAAAATTGGTACGGCACGTAACGGCAAATAGAGGCGTATTTTTTTGTTGAATTATTTCCCTGTAAAATTTATGTTGACAGAGGGCGCTAATATTAAGAAATGAGAAACTGCCAAAATTGTTGAAATTTACACCATTTGGGTTATTCAGCCTCAAATTACTTAATAAAAACAAGTAGAAGCATGATAAAATGGCGGTGAAAATTCAAAATGGACTTACTCAAATGATTATTATAGCGTTGTCAAAAAGATACGACTTCTTAAAAACCTTGAATGGGTTTGCATAAATTCTTTTGAAACACCTGTTCAGATTTAAAGAAATATGTTGGAGGAAGAAGAAAGACAGGAGGATGACACCTCTGTCAGAGTTGCTCTCAGGTACGAACTTCATGAAATAATTATACTACTTTCTTTAGAAAATATATATAAATAAATATATAAATAGTCATCTGACATCTCCTAAATTTGACCTCATCAGGTCACATTTTTTCTAATGTTGAACATAATGTAATTTACAGTGGCACTCAACAGTTGCAAAGATATACTATGCTGTATGCACTATGCTTATGAATAAGTGACCATGGTGAATAGTCCAACTAATTAGACTTGTCAAAGAGACACCGAGATAATTTTGGACGGGCGCTGTCTTTTTCCAGGTTTGACAGTAATAAAAAAAGTCTGTAAAATGGGTCAAACCGTTCACACCAAATTAATTAGGCTACATGGTGAATAGATTGGACTTGCTTTAAGAACCATGCAATGACAGAGCGGACAAACCAAGCCTAATCCCTATGGGGAAATGTTGTTGAATTATGCAGTTATTATGGTGGTTTCAGCGAACAAAACGTTTGGTGAAATTAATTGATGAAGAGGTGCCAAAGTGGTTCTGTCCGCTTTATGTTATAGATCTAGTGTTATTAAAGTGCCCAGTATACAATATATATTTTTTTAAACTATAGATAAACTGAAAACCACCAGTTTTATTATATATTATAGATAAGTTCTCCGAACTGGTAGTTCAACAAAACCAATTGAGCCCATGTTGTTTAACTATTTCATGTTTTTAAAATAAAACCAATTGCTTTGACCCAGACTGAATCAGCTGGAAGGTAAAAAACAATCGTCCTGCATCTCTAAGATGTTCGAGTGTCTAATAAAAAGGACAATGCAGCTCTATACAAACTTGGCACTGGTTGACTTGGCCCACTATTAAAAAAAGCTATCAACATGATGAATATAGTTAATGTTTAGTATATTAACTACAACTGTTCAGTATAATCATAATGCATGCTTCAACATCATATATATTTTAATAAATCAACTATATACAGATCTATGCATGTCGTACGGGGAGACCAGTGATCAGCAGCCAGGACTCAATGGCCTCTACAATCAAATTACCCCAAAAAATGAGGGGGAAAAAAAACACAGTCACTGTAAATTGCACATAAACTCTCCTGAGTCAAGCATAATTTTACTGTATGTTCTCCCAATGAAATTAACTGTAATGCAAAAGCTTGTTGCAGTAAGTGAAGTACTGGTATCCGATAATCAAAGCAGTCTCTTGATGTAAATCCAAGTGTAATTATTCCAATATATTATATTTACAAAACAACCTACGTTTACAGTATATGATGTATTTACAGGATACGTCCGCAGCTTGCTAGAGAGCGAATTGACATGTGTCAGATCTGTACTGCGGTCATGCAGTCAGAAAAGCAAGTAATGCTAGGAAAAGACAAGGCCTTCACCTTTGATTATGTGTACGACATTCCAGTTGTTCAGGAATTCATCTATAAAGATTGTGTTGAAAAACTAATTGAAGGGTAAGTAATGGTAGCTTTTAATTCATGGAATACTAATGAGCATTATGCCATAGCTGGCTTTAAGTTTAATGTTTGAAAAGAGTTCAAAGTGACATTGTTTAGAGTCTGATGTCCTGTCAGTTGCATGGATGCCGCCATTATGATTTATATATTTGAAGACTAATAGACTCATTGATGCTAAAATTAATTTGTATGTTTCTTAAATTGCTGACAGAGCCTTCATTTATTAATTGATTAAATTTTAAGATATGAACAGTTACTTAACTTTCCAAAAATATAATTTACCCTTTAATTGGGTTTAAGGTTGATGCAGGATCAAGATCACAGAGGCTAAAAATAGAAATTATTGTTTTTACATGTTTTAGTGGTATGGTACATTGTAGTACCACTTGGAACCTCCATAAACTTTGCAGATATTCTTGTTTATAAAACATTCAGAGTCTGTAGAATTATCAAAGTTTTGCCCAGCAATGGAATTATAAAGATTTGGTTTCTATGTTTCTTGTAGAAGAGATTTTAATGTTCTGCTGACACTGTCTGACACACAGGATCAAGGACATACATGTACTGTTTTTGTCCTTCTGTCATCTCTATGGACAACTTTAATATTTGCCAGAACTTTTTCATCATATAAACTGAAGCCTCCATAATTGAACATACCCCTGAATAAAAGCTTTAGGGACCTTGACCCCTGAATGACCTTCATTTTCAAGTCAATGTCATATTTAAAATTATTTTCAGAATTCAAGAAATCTCACTTCTATTATAATATTTGTGAAATAATTTACAAATGCATCTTGATAAACAGTTAGTGCATTATATATGACAATTGAACTTCACAGTTTACATGCAGTGATTTTCCTACTTATATAACAGACTCCGAAAAAAGGCCTCTTCCCAATTGAAATTTTCTTTAAAATCATGCAGTTTTCCCAAAAATCTGAACTTAAACCAGCTTTTTTACTTCCCAAATCAGCAATTTTAGCGATAATTTTTCCCAAAATCAAGAGGCTCAGGCGACATGTTGTTTTTTGGTATTGTCTTTTAAACTGATTAATAATATAGTATTTTTGACAAGTATCAACGTAAGACCAGTTTCTTGTATAAAGTTTTGAAGAAATTATGCCCATATACTGGTAAATAGACTAACTCCAGGCAGTAAAACTGTAACAAACCATGATCTGTGATTTGTAGCCAGCACAGTGTACAAAAAATTTTAGTTAGATAATGATAACCAATATGTGAACATTTTTGACAGCTATTATTCTATCCTGAAATGTAAGTAAAACAAATCAGAACTATAAAATCATTAGTTTTTGTTTGTTATTTACCATCAAGTTATAAATAGGGTAGCCCTAATTGGATATTATTGCCTTATAATGAAAATTGAGAACTATGATCCAATCATATTGTTTAAGATATATAGAAATTCCCAATACAACCAAATTGGTTGTGTAACCAAATATCCAGCTATCGGTCTATTATGTATTGATTTATTATTTTGTATGCTTTTATTAACTTTTCTGTTGAGTACGAAATATTACTGTGGAAGCCAGACGAGAATTATTTGCAACTATTATAATAAATTATACACAGTATGTACTTTGTTGCATCTATGAATGTTATATTGGCTCGGGCTTTGTGTGTGCTTGCAAAGGCTTGCGACAACGCAAGAGAATAAATGTAGAATATTAGACAGCGATGTATTATGGCTTACAGCTTGGCAGATCGAGGGAGTTACGAATTTTGAAGTTCGTGTGTTTGTAAACTACAATAGTACGATATACTTATTAATAATTAGTGAAGGAATTCACTTAAAAAGTACCAGGGGTTATAATTAATAATAACTAGCAAGTTGTACACATTGTCCCTCTAACTTTTAGCATGCACATATGGCATTGACTTTTAACTAATTACACCTCTTTGTGAACTTAAGAATTTCCTTGTGATGCAAATTCCTTATGTCTCCCTTGTCAATGTTAGTTAACAATTCAAAACTTTTAAGTCACTGTCAAATACCCATAACTCTAGCATAAGTATTAAATTAATTATTTCCCTTTGTAAACTTACAAAAATACCTTTAGGGCCCGTAAAGATTATAATCAGAAAATTCTTCACCTCAAACAGCCCTTGCTTTTAAATTTATGGACATTTGGCTTTAAATTTGATATGAAATGTGAATTCCAAAACATTTAAACAAAATATTGCATTACATATATATATGAAAAATTGCAGCTTTTTGAAAAAAAAAACACATTTTTTTCCATATAAAATATTCAGCAATGTGTAGATAAATTGTAGATTTTTATGCGATGATAGAAATTTTAGAATTTTTATAGATTTTGAATGTTTTCATGTTTCATGGTTTGTAACCAATTTAGATATAAGATAGTTAATGTACCTGTGACTTAAGTGTACATGTATGTGCAGCTGAAACATTTTGGGTTCTAAATTGTCAACCAAGTATAGTTTATGTGAAGTTTAAATTACAGTTTCAAAATTTCTTAGATTGTTTCACGTGAGGTGGCTGTTAAGTCAGCTTAAATGTGTAGTTTTTTGCTGAAATTCTACCCCATTTGTCCTCGAAAACATTAATTTATATATTTCCCCTATTTCTGAAAAAAATTCCCCTCAAAAAGAAAAAAAATTTAATCCATTAAACATTGAGCGGGAAAGCTAGTAGGAATTACAGTTTGTAAAGATAATGTAATTGTGTCAAAATAGGTACAGAATAGGTACAAAATGTACTGTGTGAAAAATAACATAAAAGAATTGTTGTATCCCCCAAACCACCTCCACCCCCTTTTCCTCGGGGACAAAATTTTCCTCACTCCAGGCCCTGTCACCATTCCAAATATGCACTGAAAATGTTCATATTTATTTTGTAGTTTTTCCTACTAATTACGCCAGGTTCCGCCTAATACCTGAAATAACACTGAGGGAAGGAGGGGGTTGGGGCTGTAATGTTACCATATGGCCAATAAGGCGTCAATGTGACTTAATACCCAGAACTAACAATAATATTAATTTTGTTTTGTATCAAATTTCTTCATTTCTCAAATCTCATCAATTTCTTCATTAATTCTGTCAGTTCAATCAGAATTTTATTCTCCTATATTAATTGTTTATAAAACATAATGTCAAACAGTTTTTGTCTGTCTCGAGGCAATCAAGAGACATTATTAGGAGAAAATTCTAACAAGTAAACATTTGTTTTACTTGACATGCAGATATTTTGCTGTTTTTAGAATGGACTAGGGAAGGGAGTGGATTATTATCAGCGAAATAATTTATCGTAGAACAACTTGTCACTCAAAATATGAATTGTTTATTTTGTAAATTGCATATTGATGTTATCTTTTCAGGTGTTTGAAGTGGTTACAATGCAAATATTTGCCTAATGGCAGTTTGTAGACTTCTTTTTGCTTTTTGAAGTCGGGTCGAAACTGTTGTAATGAATCCATTGCACATGAATATTTAATATTTTTAGTCACTTAATCCGCAATTATGAAAATATTTACCCCATTACATCAACCCCGCTGTACCATGTTAACCCCTTAAACTTGTAATCCTTTTTAGCTACAATGTGGTGAGACTGAGACTTTTATTTTATGTTGGTTATTGACCAATTGTTGGGGCCTACTTAACTAGCTAAGACTTTCTTACTAAACAAACTTATATGAAAAATAAGCAGTGGCCTAGCAGTTTTTTTTTTACCACTGTTTGCCTATCAAGCCAGGGATTGTGGGTTTATCAAGACTTACTAGGTTTATGATCATGTTTCTAAATGAAACACCAGGGGAACATTTTAATTAGTTCAAGCGAGTAGGTTAAAAAATGTTTCATAATTATAATGGAAATGCAAAAGCTTAATCTTCAGAGCTTGAAATACATAATATTTCAAATAAAATGTTTATTATAGTTTCCTGTCAAACACACACAAAAAAAGTAGTTCAAGGCAATGAGGCATGATGTCAAATTTGCAGGTTTTGTTAATTTTAACACATTTTAAGAAACCATGATATTCAAACCTTGATTTTTTTTTGTGTGCTAGAGTTTTCAATATACCAGAACATGAGGAAGTGTGTATTTTGTCTTGAATTATTCTAAAACTACCTCAATACAATGCAATATAACATATTAAAAGATAACACAATGTTATCATCCTGGTATTTCCCATTTGTATGAAAAGTTGCCATAAATCTTACACTGTGTCTGTATTATGTAAACTACTGAACAAGAAGAATACATAATGAGGAAAAAAAATCAACCAACATACAAATGAATCATTGAGATGTGGCGATTAGTTCACCTAGTTTAAATGATGGGTGGTTACTATAAACTGTCAATGTATTTTCCCTATTTCCAGTTTTTTCTCTCTAATTATTCGTTTTAAAAGAGATTGATTTAAGTTTTTAATAATTTAAACAGCATCAATGGCAATAACTAATTAACTTTTGAAAGTATTTTTTTGGCATCAATTTATGTTTTATGTTTGTTGTTTTTTTGGCATTGATTATCAATAAAAATGATTGCTTTGTTTATATCTATTTTCAGCTTTAAAAGGGAAGACTCGACAATTGGGTCTTTAAAACATGTCAACATTTTATTTTTTGCTAAGCCCCCGGGGACACCCCCTTTTTAAACAAAAGTTTTTTGGGAAGGTTTTTGAAAATTTTTAAAATGTTTAACCTGTTTGAACCCCAAAATTTTATTAAACCTTTGGGGAGGCCCGTATAAAAGCCCGAGGCCCCGTTGCACATTAATGCATCTGACCAAAAATCCCATACTTTTTCTTGTTTATTTTTTTGTACATTTTCATGTAATTTTATAGGGGAAATTCCTATTTTTAATTTTTGAAAAGATTTTATAATAGTTTCAAAAAAACAAATCATTATTTTTTGGGAAACATCGACCATAAATATTAAAACATAAATTTTTAAATTGTTAAAAAAAAGTCCTTTTAAAAATTTAAAATTTGGGATGCTCCCCAAATTTTTTGCAGGGAAAATCTGTTAAACTTTAAATTTAGAAGTTTAAGGGGTTTTAAAAGCTAAAGGGGTTTTAGGCAGATCATTGAGCTGAATTAAATTTTCTGCTCAAGTGAAACTGCTATGGTTTTTTAGTCCTGTCACAAAACTTTTGGGTTTTTTTTTTATGAGGAAAAAGTTTGGCTATAATTTTGCTATAGTAAAAAAAATTTCTTGGTACTAAAGGGACCCATTTGAAAAAGAAATAAAGCCAAACAGGGGGTATGCCAGTTTTCCTTTTGGGCCAGTTAAAATTTTCAAAATCGAAACAGGGTTTTTCTTTTTAAAAGGGTTTTTATTTTCAAAAAAAGAAAAATTACATTAAAAAATTTTATTTTTATTAAGGGGAAAATTGGGGGAAGGGTGGGTCCCAAAATTTTTAGAATCAAGTTATTATGAAAGCATAAGTTTGGCTTATATTTTGTACATGTAAGTTAGTACTCCGAAACCGTCATAGTTCTGTGACTGTAAGAGGTATTTTAGCCTATTTTATTGTGTCGCCTCTACGGAGTAGTGGCGACATATAGGGATCACTTCTCCGTTGTCTGTCTGTCCGTCTGTCTGTCTGTCTGTCCATCCATCCGTCAAAAACTTGTCCGGACTACTCCTCATAAACTACTGGTGCAAATTTCATGCCAAACTTTACAGGAATGATCAGTACCAAGTCTAGTTGTGCGTAATGTCAGCATTTTCCGGTTCAATGATTTTTGTCAGAGTAATGGCCCTTTATAAATTTTTAATTTTAAAGTTTGTCCGGATAACTTCTCTTATACCACTTATGCAATTTCAAATGAAACTTTACAGGATTGATCTGTAGCTCAAGTCCTTGCGCATATTGCACAGGTTTTCCGGTTGAATGATTTTTGGCCGAGTTATGGCCCTTTGATAAAAATTTTTTTTTTTTCTGTGTGTTGCCAGATACACAAAAGCTTGTCCGGACTACTCCTCATAAACTACTGGTGCAATTTCATCCAAACTTTACAGGAATGATCAGTACCAAGTCTAGTTGTGCATATTGTCAGCATTTTCCGGTTCAATGATTTTTGTCAGAGTTATGGCCCTTTAATAATTTTTATTTTTAAAGTTTGTCTGGACTACTTCCCTTATACCACTAATGCAATTTCAATGAAACTTTACAGGATTGATCTGTAGCTCAAGTCCTTGCGCATATTGCACGGGTTTTCCGGTTGAATGATTTTTGGCCGAGTTATGGCCCTTTGATAAAAATGTGTTTTTTTCTAGTTGTGCACTGTCCATCTGTCTGTCCGTCTGTCACAAAATTTGTCCCAACATGAAATTGGCCATCATGAGGCGACACATGTGATTACTGATCGCTCTTGTCTTGCTTTAGATACTAAAGTGATTGTATGTGAATCACTTTATTATATTTTCACCTGAAAGTAAATAAAACTTTTTAAAACGTTTTCTAAGTATGTACATTGAATTATGTATCAAAAGAGATGCTATTTTAAGTAACCGATTTCTTTTACTATATCATACGTTTCATGTTTCATAAGGAAAATAATTGAGCTGATAACATCAGCAATTTGTTACAATCTCAAACCTTTATTAAATCCAATATGACATTATACTGCCTGTAGGGAAACAAGCTTTTGAGCTGATTTTGTTTGTTTTACACAAATCTATTTTTCCAGACAATCTGTTGTATGTATAAATATAACAGATTTTGCTGCAAAAGTGGTAGTGATTTCTAAGAATTTATCATAGGTTCATTATATATAGATACTAGTTTTTGGTTGAGGAGAAATTTCCTCAATTGTAGATAAAAAACAAAACATGCTGATTTCAGTCCATGTCTGGTATGGAAATATGTATAGATTATATGTTTAGATTTCAAGAAATATGCAATATTATTCATAAATAACCTGCACCTTGCACATTTTGTGAGATATTTAAGTTATATTCTGCCAAAAGGAAATTCCCATAATTCTAGAATTTGGAAATATAACAGACTTTAGTCAAGAAGTTTTAAACATGCAATGATGATGAGTATACAAACCCTGGTTTAAATGTCTATTATTGGTAGAAAGTTTAAGTTTTTGTCTCTCAGTGTCTCGTTTTTAATCAGGCATCATACATATATACATGTACATTATAAATAACATGTACACTAAAAATGTACATAAAATGTCTAACCCTCGGTAACCAATACACAAAAATCTTTGAAAACTGAATTGCCTTAATTTTAGGGTATCTCTGAATTGCTTGAATTGTTGGAGATGTTAAACATAATGCACAGGTATTGCAAATTGGTTCACAGTATGCGATAAATATAGCCTACACTTACCTGGTCATTAGACTACTTGATCAAGCCATATACCCGCATAGTAATTACTGGGCCAATATTACAACTTACATGTCATTGAAACTTGTATAATGTGTCATTAAAATGTTTTCTACAGTTTGATATGTCCTTTCAAGTATTTAGTTTTATTTTTACTTTGCTTACTAGAATACAATTTAAAATCCTGGCTCTTCAAATATCACACTAAAGATATTTTTATATTGTACTATTATAGGCAAATAGATAAGAATATTTTAGTGTTCTCACAATGCATGCCCCTCCCACTCTCTTAGCATATCAAAAAAGAAAGAAAAAGTGGTGGCGTAGCTGAGTGGTTAACACATAACACTAGTAATCTAAGGATTGCTGGCCTCGTGGGTTTAGACCCAGTCATGGGCAAGCTGTTGTTTCCTTTGTCAGAGCAAGAAATTTTACATTCATTGCTAAAAATAGCACTGGTTGGTTCCAGGAACATTTTGAGAGTGTTTCATTAACCATAGAGCTTCCAACACACATATTTATGAATTATGTTCAGACTGAGATAGTGCAAGTTCAGTGACCTCTGACAATTGTTAGATTATACTGTTTCATGAGAAATGAGAAGAAGTTAACTGTTACATGTGTAGATCAGATTTAGTGCAAGTACTGAATCCATTAATTTTGAGTAGCCTATGTCTTCAATAAATATTTTTTCTTTTTCTAAACCTTCTTAAATTTATGAATTATCATAAACTGATGTGTAGTTAATATATGAAATTGAAGTTTTTTCTATCCTATTACAGACTGGCTCAGGGAAAACTTACACAATGGGAACAGGATTTGACATGAACATTCCAGAAGCTGAAAAGAGGCATCATTCAAAAGAGCTGTTGGGCATCTATTAAACGGAAATAGAAGAGAGAAAAAAACCAGGCCATAGAAAGAAATGAAAACCCCAAACCTGACTTTAAAGTTAATGCACAGTTTATCGGCACGGTAATGTACAGCTCATAAAGTTTTATAGAGTATAATTTATTTTTTAATAAAGTGGTAAAAACTGTTTTGTTCAGTTTAGAAAATTCCACCATGCTAAAAATATCTAATGGAAACTTGTCCCCATGTTTAATCTGGATCAAAACCAATTAAAAGTGTTCTAGGGAAATCTTTAGAAATCTCGAAAAAATTGTGTAGTGGACCTAGAAGCAAATACATGTAGGGCAAAACATAGGGCATCTTCTCAATTAATAACCCTTCACTTTTGTAAACTGAGTGATTGACATTTTACAGTCTTGTTGTTTTATTTAATAATTTTATTGCTTTCTGTATTTCAGTTGTATAATGAAGAAATATTAGATCTGTTAGATACAACAAGAGACCCTGAAAGTAGGGTAAGTAGTTCATTAAAAAAAAAAAAATCTAGCATTGAATGTTGATTTTTGCACATTGATCGTAAAACTGCACACTAGTCATAAAAGGATAAGAGGACAGTTTTTGAAGACTAGAAAAATGGTTCATGCACAAGCATTGTTACATTAAAATTGATTTTGCTTTCTAAGAAAATAAAAATGAAGTTATGAAATTATGGAAAATGCTTTGCATGGGACGTTAGATATAAATGTAATTATTATGATAACCATGTCTGTCATGTGTGCAATGTTGTTGATAGACAAAATTTACTTTATACATATCTATTCCTTATTTACTTACCATTGTATTGAGATGGATTATCCCACCTTTTCACTCGTAGATGTGATGGCTTGAAATTTCTGTGGGGATATATGGCCTAGTGGTTTTGGTTTCCACCTCTCATTCAAGGGATATTGGGTTCAAGGCCTAATATGGTCACAACCGGACCCAGTTTCCTTATATGTCACTAGTACCCTCAGACTATTCTGTAGTATATACAATTTTCAAGAAGTTTTGTGAATTCTGGATATAAGCCAAGTTTTCTTTACCTAATATAAACATGAAATAGTTATAATTATTATTAAATAAAAATATAATGAATGATATATAATAATTTTGTGCCACTTCAGGGTCGTAAAAGTAATGCAAAGATCCATGAGGATGCCTCAGGAGGAATATATGTAGTTGGAACTACCACAAGACTAGTCTATTCATTACAGGAGGTAAGACACCTTATTTGTTTGGTTTACCTATATGAAAGTATTTAAAGCTCTTTGTATAAAATGTGTAATGACGTCATGATGACAAATTGAGAGCTTTGCATTATGAATTTTACATCTAATTGGTGATGAATAGCCAAATTCAAATAGGTGTTGTACAAGTTAAAATCCATTAACAGGAACAGGGTTATTATTAAGCTAAATGGATCCAAACCATGAAAAAAATTAAGATTCAAAGCAGGGTTAGTTCTGTCTCTGATAGATAGAAAATCGCATAGACTTTTACATAATTATACATTTTCCATTTATAATACAGTTTGAGTGATATTTATTCATAACATTATATACTTACTTGCCTTACAAACGAAAGTGTCTTTGCGACGTAATATTCAATAAGGATTATAAGTAACTTTTGTGGGTTTTTTTTTTTTCAGACAATGCAATGTCTTCAAGTTGGTGCGTTGTCAAGGGCAACAGCCAGCACAAACATGAACGCAACTTCATCCAGATCTCATGCTATTTTTACCTTACATATAAAACAACACAGGGTAGTCAAAGAGGAGGTAAATTTTTATGTTGCAATTCTTCAGATAACAAATTGTTTTTTGGTTAATAAATGCCCATACTTAATTTTAAAAAAGCCTTTTCTAATAAAAAGTGGTATCAGGGGCCCCTTGGAGGGTTATGACATTTTGACTAAAACCACTTCCCTTTCACCCCCGCTGGGGGTTTCCCAAACCCCAACAGATATTTTGTACCCTTTCATGTGAAGAACCCTTAAAGGGAAACATCAGGGGTTCAAATTGGGTCCTTTTTCCCTGAAAAAATACGCGGAAAGGCACCTGGGGGTTTTTCCTCCACCATTTAAAAGCCATAGACTTATACTGTGTTGGTGAAAGGGTAAAAACACACCCAAACCCCAATTCTTTTTTAAATAGGGCACATGGGAGGGGGTGTTTAAAACGCATTTTTAAGAGATTTTTATATTTTTCCCTGAAAATGTTTTTGGTTTTTTTTGCATCACTTTTTGATGTCATTTTTTCCCCTGTCAGTGTTCCTTCCCTTCAGTATATTTAAACATACACAAGTTTTTGTTTCTTGAAAAAAGTGGCTGACAGTGTTAGAATACATGTAAAAATGTGGTAAACTTAGGTTTAAACAGTTTCTCTATATCTTTATTACAGCAAGTGGCTGTTGAGCACAAGGACGGGGAAGGAGATGTTAAGATGGAACAGAGTAATGACAGTCTGAGTGAGTTTGAGACATTGACGGCAAAGTTCCACTTTGTCGACCTTGCAGGCTCAGAAAGATTAAAAAGAACTGGTGCTACTGGGGACAGAGCCAAAGAAGGAATTTCTATAAATTGTGGACTGGTTTGTTGATTTAATTCTATTTTATTGAGAAACTATAACATGTACAATTGCTGTCATCGTGAACAAAAAAATTGTAAAAATCAACATATGATAGTATCTTCTATGTAAAAATCCAACATTTGATAGAATCTTCTAAGTAAGTATCTAAACATTTGATAGAAAAACTTCTGTGCAAATATGCAACATTCGATACAAACTTTTATTTAAATATCCCAAAATTGATTTTTTCCCTTTCTTTTGAAAAATTCAAGATTTTTTCAGGGTCAAAATTTCCCAAAATTACCAGAACAAGCTGGAAAAAGTTTAATTAATGGCAAAAAATAATTTTGCATATTTTCATCAAAGAGTTAAAATTAGTGTCAGAAGATTCTTCGTAAAAAAGCCCCCTACCCAAAGGAAATGGTAAAGTTGTTAAAAACAATTTTTTCCTGAAAATCCTTTTAAAATTTTTCTAAGCGAAAACATGAAACATGAATATTAATTAAAAACATGAAAATTTAAAGTTGGCCTTTAGGTAATGTCTCAGCTTTAAGGTGCAAGATGAAAAAAGGATCTCAGGGTCCTTATAGGACTCTAAACTCAAAATTTTACTAAAAAGATTCTCTGGGAAAGGGAAAACAGGGGTTTTTAAATGATCGCGTGTGTTTCACCCTCGGATCGAGACTTTATGGAAACTTTAAATACATTGAAATATGCAAATCGTGCTAGAAATATAAAGAACAAAGTGATAGCCAATCAAGATAAGGCCAGTAAACAGTTAGCTATATTACGACAAGAGATTATGTTACTTCAACAAGAATTAATGGATTATAAAACGGTAGGTATTATTTTGTTGCTTTTGTCATGAAGTCCTGAACAATTTTGAATTCTTTGTTTGTGGTCTAGAAAAGACACCAGCAATGAAGTGATGAAAATTCTTAAGTTGAAAGCTTTTCTGCAAGTTTATTTACTTGTTTTAGATAATAAAAGGTGTAACTTTGAGAATAATTTACATGTTATGTGCCATTAATGACTGATTTTGCAGTATATATCGCCGTACCTCTACTGTCTTTTCATAAGTAAGGCTTATTTTGCATATTTTGACCTCTTTTCCTTTGATTTTAAGTGCTGACAGCAATGTGTTAATTACTTTCTTAGTTCTCTTTTGTATATTATACTTTTAAATGCATTTTTTAAATTTTCATGACAATAAGCATGAATATAGAGGCATGCTGCTTTAAAGCTGCACGCCTCCAGATGAGCAAAAATATTTCGATAAAATCAAACCTGAGAAAATGTCTTAAGATTTTTTAAAAGGGAAAAATATAAAGATTCAAAAAAATTTTAGTTCCCTTTTAATTTTTCTGTTAATTTGAATCCATTTTTCAGTAATTTTAAAAAAATATTTTTTAAGCGTTACTAACGCCCTAAAGGGCTATTTTTGGGGATATTTTGACCCCCTTTATAGCAGTTTACATGGGTTGTAAGTACCATTGATAATGTGTTAATTGCATTCTTTTGGTAACTTTACAATATTATACTGTTAAATACATTTTCAAATTTTCATGACAATAAGCATGAATCTGGAGGCATGCTGCTTTAACATCCTGATAGATTGACCTTGTTTCCTGTGTTCTAATAAATTTTCCTGTTAAATAACAACTTTATTGTTACATTGATATATCATTGTATTCACACTGTTTTTATCAAATGAGGAAAACAAAGTGATATAACATGTATAATAAATGAAAAAATGAGGTCATCTACTCTTACTCAGCTGATTATGTGATTGAAACTTTAAATAGATGAAAAATGAATTATGTCAAAAGAAATGTATTATTACTCAGAATATAATGTTTACTAGACATAACAAGGTATATAAAAAAATGTAAGGGGCTAGTTATAATATTTCATGGATAAATGCTTTTAGGGCTAAGGGAGATAACAAAAATGAAATGTACCATGTCAGACCAGACTTCTCACTTTTTAAAACCCTTAACTAACAATGAACAGACCCAAAGTAAAAGCAAGACTATTCTGTTATACAAATTCAGCAGGCCAGGGGTTAGGTAATAGTATTTCAATCTGTTTTAAAAGGTAGATACTGAAAATAACTTATGCAGTACTGTACCATGTTAAGAGTACATAATTTTTAGCATTTCTTTGTTTGTTTTTTGTTTGTTTGTTTGTTAAAGAAGCTCATGTATGCCTCCAGGATTGTGTCATGTGACTGTGAGGAAGCCATTTAGCTAGGGTAAGGAAGGTTGGTGGTTCTACTTGGGTGCTTAGGCCACATTTAAAAAAGTCTTTGTTTGCTGTCTCCCGACCCTACTTTTTAGAGTTGGGTAGGTAGGTAGGGATTTTTTTTTTTTTTTTTTTTTTTTTGGAAATACATACATGTTTTTGGTTTGATTCTGTTTGTTGGAAAAAACGGTTTAATAAAAATGCGAATAAAATTTTTTAAAATTGATATATCTTAATTTCAGTTTGTATATCTTTCAATTAGTCAATACAAGAAGTATAGTTCTTTTTAATAAAAATACATGTAACAAAGGCAAAATTTCAAACATTCACCCAACATGTGAGAGGATGACTAAAACACACAAATATACTCAAATATATTATGCAAAATAACTACTGAACAACAAAAGGCATCATTATACATCAACAGTTTAAAGTCTGCTTACATTTTTTTTTCACTGAAATGAATAGTTAGTGACACAACCAGAAAAACAATTTCAAACACTAAGCAACTTCAGACAAGTAAACAGTTAAGCCACAGTTTACCAACAAAATTTAGGTTCACAGTATTTATTTTTTATAGGACATCTATGGGGAATGTCTTTCTTATGGATTGATGCATTGCTCATAAACTGGAAGTACAATCCTAAAGGCTAAACTTTGTTAACAGTTCTGGATTTCTCTGTGCTTCTGGCTCACCACAATGGGCACAAATATCTGGTCGTCCAATGTTGGAGGCACAGTAAGGGAACTCCACGTGAGATTGGCATGACATCTGCGGTCATATAAACACTCTCCCTGTGCAGAGCATCTCCTATGAAAACAGACAGAAGGCTAGACTTTATGCAATACAGATTTTGCCAAAAATGCAATTATTTTAACTTTTTTAATTATACAAACATGGGAAATATGTAAGAAAGAATAAAATCAGGTTTCTACTTTCAGTTGATTATGTAAAAACATTTTGACATCACTATTTTAAGAAAATAAGCACAACAATGTGCAATACCAATACTAACCATCAACTGTAATGACTGAATCACAGTTGTAATCAAATTTCTCAAGGTTGTGTTTTAGAGATCATGTTTCCCTGTCAATTTATTCTTGGAGTAAATACACCTTGGTTTATCCGCATTCAGTGCCTTGCATTTTAACCCACTAGAAGACTATTCTTAAAGCCCTGCAATAATGAGAAAATGTGATAAACGAGTGCTGAAATGGTTCAAATACTAAGACAGGTGGTACTGAAAACAATAAGATAAGTGCATTTGCTGGTTGAAGAAAATGATTATTTAATAAATACTGGTACTTATAAATGAGTGAGTACATACAAGAAACTTTATTTATTTACAAAAACTTGATTTTAAGTCGATTACATGAGCACTCAGTAAGTTTTTAAAGGCCTGGGAACAAGTATAAAAGGCAGACAAGCAGAAAAATGGCCACTGCTGTTGAACTCTGTATGCTGTCTGCTAGCATAATCAGAGAGAGATAGAAAAATGAAATTTCAAAATTTAGAGAGACATACCTCATATTATTTGCTATAAATTGGCACATCACTTCTTTATCATGTAAGCAACATTCCTTGAAAGTTACAGATCTCTGTGATACTTAGAAGTACTACTTTAAAAAAATCTTTTTTTGAAAACAGTTAAAAATTCAAATTTCCCTGTGTATTTGATTGACAGTTGTACAGAGGTTATGACCTTTCTCTCAGCCAACTACATCTCTCTAGGTATAAACATTCTCACAGTAGAGTTTGACAGATGGCGGGGAAATAAATACTAGGGCAATAAATACTATGCAAGCAATGAACTTGAATTTTTATTTATTGATTGTGTTATATTCCATCCCTACAATCATGAATTTATTAACTTGAAATGACATCGGTATTGGTCAGTTCTAACACAAAATTGGAATAGTCTATCTAGTGTAATAGGTAAAGTATGTAATCTAAAGAAAAAGTAATATAAATGCATTATTATTTAGTATATAATTCGACTCTGTTCATGTACACAGTCTAAATTACAATTGAAACACATCTAAGGTAAGATATATACCAAACATTTTTTCTATATACAAGGCATTTCTAAACTGTTAACTGTTATTAACTGTTTGTATATACTGACTATCACCGATTTCATAAATTATACTCTTCATTGTAAAAATATGTAATTGCAATATACATCCTGACAGCACTGCTATTCACGAATTCGAAAACCTAGCTAAACGCCGTTTTCCGGTACTTTCTGTACATAGCTCTGGGGAATTCACCTAATAGAGTGTAATAGCGAACTCGATGTTTTCGGCCTTTTTTAAAATTAAATTGAAATAAAACAGTTATTTCTTTATAAGAAAATAATTAAATATCATTGTATGAATAATTCCATACAAAAAATAAAGTAAATACACAAGTTTACGCCGAAAATAACCTTATTTATTATGGAAGATTCCACTACGTCGGTTTAAATTTTATTGATTTTCATTTTAAACAACTTATTTTTTTGAAAAATTTGCAATAGATATTAAAGGAATATTGATAATTTTCAATAACATCAATTCTTTTCACCTTAAACGGTAAAATAATGAAAGAAAAATAGAAATATCATGTAACTGTGTTATGTTCTTCATTTGGTGTAATTCCCCAGAGCTAAATCGGTAACGTACCGGAAAACGGTGTTTAGCTAGGTTTTCGAAAAGGTCACCTTACCTTTTCATCAAATTGCAAAATCATTACCCCCCAATAAATACACAACTTCTTTATCTCTCCTGAATGCTGAACTCTCCTATACTATTGCAGACCACATGTTTATATTTACAAGCATGCTGACCTCAGGTCATGATAATAAAACCCCGCCTCTTGTACCTAATATGCTTAATGGCCATCCGTAGGGATATCTGAGTTCACATTCCCCGGCCTTTAACACAAACCAGTATTTAAGCATACGGTAAGAACGTCCGATTTTTTTCGGGTAAAAATCCTCAACAGATCGACCCATGCCCAGACAAATTCATTCTCGTGGAGGTTATTTTTCAACAAAGTTGAATAAATGTAATAATAAATGTTGACGAGATGATAAAATACTCGTCTTCTTGAAGATCTTCTAACTTTCGTTTTGCAAAATTGTAACGGATGTGTACACAATCGACTTTTACCCGGCGGTACTTGAAAGTCGATACACGTGACGAATAATACGCGGGAACCAGAATACTACACGCCGTTATTGAACGGATATCGGTAAAAATATGCGGCACCAAAAAAAAAAAAAATGGTCGGCGAGAGCAAATAAAATTTTTCGGAGCGCAGCGTTTTTTTAGGGTCGGTCGGGAGACAGCAAACAAAGCTATTTTTAATTTAGGCCTTACCTGTGCCAGTAATAATGTTAGACAGGCTTCTCATTTCTCTCACCACCAATAAAGCTTGAAAGTCACCCTATGACGTTTATACTGTTGACGAGTAAACTATACTGTAGAATAAAATATAATGATGTTATTTTGATAAACACAGGGTAAGAGAGTAGTGGATAGTGAAGGAGTAGAAACTACCAGTGATGTCTTTCATGAAAATAACATGCTTCAAACAGAAAATGATAAACTTAGAACCAGAATCAAAGCACTGAATGAAACAGTAGATCAACTGACTGTAAGAAACTCGGAACTGTTGGCTGATCAAGCAGTTATTGCCCTTGGTAATGCAGCTGGTGATGCTACTAATGAAGAGGTTGTTAACTTAATCAAAGGATATGTGAAGGAACTTGAGGAGTTAAGGTGAGATAAAAATATGTTTCCTTATCATTAACAGTATGCAGTGTTGTAATAATTTTCTGGTTCTTATAGATCAATTCTTGTTTTATTTTACAAGAAAATGAAATTAATGCTGATGAAACCTTTTTATACATTGTTAAAGTGTCATTATTTACCTTACATATCCTTAGTTACTTAGATTTTTAACAAATTGTATGACCTAATGTAAATAGTGCTTAATAGCTAGGCATTGCACTTACAGTAAATCATTATTTCAAGCAGTTGTATATCAGATATTTATTAAAAGCATAGAATCAGCATCATAGATTTTAATAAAAGAAGATGCAGATGTATGTGATGAATATTTTACAATATTTATTAGAGCAAAAACTCATATATTAAGGTTGTATGTTACGTTTGTAGATTTTTTGCTTTAAAATGGTCAATTTACATGGATATTTAATCTTACTTTAAAATATTGCCCCCTTCTTATGTGCAAAAATTGAATATAGATATTTGTTGAAAAGATTTAGAGCACAGTGTTCAGAGCAGTCCATAAAATTGCATTGTATGTTATTTGTGTATTTATTTCAGAACAAAACTAGCTGAATCAGAGTTAATGATAGAAAGGTTAAAACGATCACGACCCATGTCGGTATCTCGATTGTCCATGAATCCCATGTTGTCCCCGGTACATTCAAGTATGAGCCAGAGTATGGAGTCACCGATGTCGCCCGATAATCATATTACTAGTATTATTGAGGAGGCGAAACGTGACGTGAAAAAATTAAAGAAGAGGAAGAAAGCTGCTGAACGCCATGAGTGAGTGTTCTATTGTAAACTTAGTTTTACTTCCGAGTGTCAACATAACAAGTTTTAAATCAAAATGTGTTTTTTACTCAACAAACTTTTAGGTTTTATGAATTGCATAACCCTTCCTTATCTATATTTGTGTGCAGTTGAAATTTTGAGTTAAATTATATGATAAAGAATTATGACCAAATGATATGAAAAATTGTGTTTGTGATGAATTGATATTGCTTTCAATGATTCTCAATATATTTTTATACTCCAGACCACATATATGTAAATGATGTGCAATTTAAATACAAATTTCTATAAAATTCCAAGACAAAACTGAAAAACATTGTGTTGAGAAAGATAAATATTTGAAGTTAAATCTATTAGAAATAATTATGTTCCAGACTGGATATTTTTTACAATATCTGAAAGCAAGATATTAACAGTGTTGTTTTTGTCATGTTTGTAGTAGTGATAAAGAGAACGAGCATCATTCCGATGAAGAGAAGGCCACTACAGAGACAGTTGAAGGTGAAGTCGTGGAGAAAGATAGATCTGAAAAATCAGAGAAAGATGATTCTGAAAATGTTGATGTTAATGGAAATCTAGATCTGGTAACTGGTGTTTTTGTTTTAGATTGAGATAGTGATATATATCTGTGTACTTTGTTTACCTGTTTACAATGAAAAGTATTATTTTTAGCCCATTTGGGTATCTAAATAGCTAAAATGTTTCCTTTATGCACTAAACTAAAGTTTACTTTATAGCACACAGGAACTTTTGATTCTTTAAAAAGTTGGTGATTCTACATGGTAGCCACCTTGTGCCTGACATATCTTCCTAGCCCCATGACCAATATTGTCTTGGTGCCCTATACAACAAAACAAAAATACATCTTCTTCCACTTGAAAGCTGGAAAGTAGCAATATGACATGCTTACATTGTCTTTTTTTCTTTGAGGAAATATTTTATTTTATATTTTCAATCCATCTCTGCTGTTGAAGGGATGATGGTTATGTTATAGATGATAATGATGGTTTATATATAATACAGGATAAAGATGATACTGCGGAGAGTTCTGATGATGATGACGAGGAACTTGAAGCATTGAGCAGTTCCAGCTCGGGCTCTGATTCCGACGGGAAAGGTTTGAATCTATATTTCTCTGTAATATATCAAGTTTAATATATACTTACTTCAGAATTCATGCACTTGTTCCTTTCCTCGATATATTTTTCTAATACTGTGATAAATTAATCATTTACTGAAGAAGATAAAAAGACAACCCCTCCATCTAGAATCAACTTTGCCAAATTTCAGTATGGAAAAAAAATGTATTTAACCTTTGACAGATTTCAAACAAGTAGTTTTATACGAATAAGAGAATAAAGAAAAATTCGGTACTTTTTAAAATGTGAGTTTTTCAAAGCAAACAGATATTTTTAGTTTTTCTTCTAATTAAGACTTCATATTACTGGAATTTCTTTGTTATATCAATTTAACCATATTTCATGAGGTAATTTTTCCTGCATTGAAATCAAAATGACAAAATCATTAAATAATGACAGATAATTAGGGAAACTTTTTTAACTGAGAAAATTCAATGTTTAAATTTATTTTGTGTGTTTTGGCACTCAGTGGAAATGTTTTTGGATTATTGGAGTCAATGGGCAGGTAACTGGTATCAAGTATCACACATAAGCTTAGAGTTGCTTCCCTTTTGTAGAATTCATAGGAGCTTTTGATGTGTTAGAGTGATTTTTGTTCCACTTTTTCCAGCAAATATTTTACTACATTTGTACTTGTCAGTGTTGTATTTAAGATGTTATTTTATATGTATTTGGTCACATATGCTTGGATCACTGTTAAAGTTGCCAGAAAATGAGATGATAGTCTTCAAGCATTATGTTAAAACAAAGAAAACAAAGTTTTATAAATTTAGGATAGCTCTTTAAATGATATTAATATTTCTGAATTTTTTTTTTTTTGTCTTTTTAATGACCTTTCCGGTTATATTTTTTTCTTGGTATATCTCAACTCTTGGGAGTCTCCAAATTTTCTTCCTATGTGTCTCTTGTTTTGGTCTCTTTGTTTTGTACTTTTTTATGTTTTTTTGCTGTTAAACAGTAATTTTCAATTCTTAATGTTGTAGAATTCAATATTTTTCTGTCTTTTATAGTTTTTGTCCATTTCAGTACTCTGTATTCAATGCTAATGTGTTTGGTGTAACATTATTTATCTGATTTTTTATTTATTCAATTTTAAAACAGAGAAGAATAAAGGCAAGTCGTCTAACACTATTGGTCAATTTTATGAAGAGTTCAGAGTTTTAGAATGTCTTCAATGTTGTAAAATGTTTCATGTTTATTTATGGTTTGTAGATATGTTTCTCAGTGTTGTATTTTTCACAGTGTTAGTGTTGCATTTTTCATTACATATAAAAAGGTATACTTTCTAATATTTTAAAAAACTTATTTATTTTTATAATAAAGTAGTTTTGATGAAATCCATTTTTTACAGACTACTAGAACAATTGCTTCTTCAAAGTCCAATGTTTCTGTGACTTTGAAGGAAATTTTAATTAAATTATGGATCAAAAAGAATCCTGATATAACTACAGGAAATGTTCCTAAAGCCTCAAGAAGGTTTTCTTGTTATTTTACCATGAACATCTTTATTTGTAACATTTTAGTATATTTTTTACTTTAGATTACCGTTTTCTGCATTTGAGTACATTTTGTACATTAATAGACTGTAAGTTTGCACTATAGAGAACCATTTTGTACATTAGGGTACCAGTTTGGGCATTAGGGTACCAACTCGTTTTTAAAACTGCATGTCTCCAGATCAGCCAAAATATTTCAAGAAAATAAAACTTGAGAGAAAAGCACTGAGATTTTAAGAGAAGTAAAAAAAAAGTGATTATTTCCATGTTATGTGCGATTCATTACTAATTTAACAGTTAGGGTTATTCTTGCATATTTTGACCATTTTTGGTAATTGACATGGTTTGTAAATGCTTTTTGCAATGTGAAAATTATTTATTTTGGCTACTTCACAATATTTTACTTTTTGATACATTTTCAAAATGTTCATGAAAATAAGCATGAATCTGGAGGCGTGCTGCTTTAAGGGTACCAATTTGTAAATTGGATAACTGTTTTCTACAATAAAGTAACATTTTAAGCATATTTTTATTGAAATAACATTTCAGATTCCGACAACATACATGAAGATTTAGCGGAGTTAACATGTGAGATCTCTATCAAACAGAGGCTTATAGAGGAGATAGAGCAGTCACAGAAACGAATGAATTCCATGAAAGTACAATACGAAGAGAAAGTTGAGCTGTTAATAAATAAGATCAGGGAGACCGAGTCTGAGAGGGATAAAGTACTTGCAGGATTAAGTAAGTATTGCATTTAATTAGTTGATTATTTTAGGGATAAAAAAAGTTGTTGTAAAAAAATGGTTGCCATTGGTTTGGATGGATGTTTATCTGGCAAACAACAAATCCTTTAAATGTTTAAATAGTTTTTAATTTGCCATATGGCTACCTTCTAGTGCAGAAATGTGCAAGCCTGTACAGTTCACCTTAACTATAGTGTTGGTTGATCAATGTCAGTATTTTGATCGTGAAATACTGCTTAATACCTATAAGTGGTTTTCAGGTTTTCCAAAGGTTAAATATACTATACTTAGATAAATTGTTTCATATAATTAGTAAAAGAATTAAGGTGGAAAATGAAAGTTGTCAACGATAAAATACATCAATAAGAAACCCCCCCCCCCCAGTACCTCTAATCTACCATTCCACTCTCTTTATAAAGCTTAGTAAGCAGACAATTCATTTCCCCATCTTCTATTATTAGAAATAAACAGAATGATGCAGAATAAATATCTTTCGGATCATGGTTTTGAAGAAGGCTTCACTGTGATATGATGTACTTCTCCAAGATGAAATTACTAAAAAACTTAAATTGAAACAATACAGAATTGTTTTACCAACAGAAAATAAAAGCTGAAGGCTGCTTTAAAAAAAAGAATTATACATGTTCCAGTTTGGACAAAACTATTCATTATTTTTATGGAAAATTTAAAGATATTCAGTGACTAGTGACTATTCAGCAGATCATGATCAGACAGCATATGTGTGTGTGCTGGCTGGTCATGGTCTGCACTATTTGCAGCCTGCACTGTTGCTCTTGTTTGAATCTCTCCTGACAGGCTGCATTGTTTTGTCTTGTTTGAATCTGTTACCATCAGCAGGCAAAAGGGTTTATTATACCCCCACAAACGAAGTTTGGGGGGGGGGTATATAGGAGTCAGCTTGTCCGTCGGTCCGTCGGTCCGTCGGTCGGTCCACATCATGGTTTCTGGACAATAACTAGAGTTTGGAATGAGGTATTGTAATCAAACTTGGTATATAGCAACCTTATGTGGAAACTCCGGTTGGTATTGCATTTGGACCCCCTGGGGTCAAGGTCACCGTTACTAAATATAGAAAAATGGTTTCCGGACAATAACTAGAGTTAGGAATGAGATATTGTTATCAAACTTGGCGTACAGCAAGCTTATATGAAAACCTGGGTTGGTATTGCATTTGGGCCCCCTGGGGTCAAGGTCACTTACTAAAAATCGAAAATTGGTTTCCGGACAATAACTAGAGTTAGGAATGAGATATTGTTATCAAACTTGGCGTATAGCAAGCTTATATGAAGACCTGGGTTGGTATTGCATTTGGGCCCCCTGGGGTCAAGGTCACTTACTAAAAATCGAAAAATGGTTTCCGGACAATTACTAGAGTTAGGAATTAGATATTGTTATCAAACTTGGCGTATAGCAAGCTTATATGAAGACCTGGGTTGGTATTGCATTTGGACCCCCTTGGGTCAAGGTCAAGGTCACCGTTAGGAAAAATAGAAATATGGTTTTCTGACAATAACTAGAGTTAGGAATGAGATATTGTAATTTAATTTGGTGTAAAGGAAGCTTATATAAAGACCTGGGTAGGTATTGCATTTGGACCCCCTAGGGTCAAGGTCACTGTTACAGTGTTACTAAAAATAGAAAAATGGTTTCCGGACAATTACTAGAGTTAGGAATGAGATATTGTAATCTAATTTGGTGTATAGCAAGCTTATTTAGAGACCTCAGTTGTGATTACAATTGATTGAAATATTTCTTTGTACACAGTTGAAAGTTTGTGATCAAATTTTTCTTCAGACGACTTTTTTGTCAAAAAGTCAAAGTTGTTGGTGGGGGTATTAATCACCTTCAGTGATAGGTCTAGTTTTGAATAAACATAGTGAAAGTTTATGTATTATTGTTCTGTAGTAAAAAAAAATGATCCAGACTTGAACTGTTTCAATCAAAATTAATTTTTTGTTTTTGTAAAAATTACTATGATGCCTTAAATGTTAGTTAATATATTACAGGCAAAGTTGATACAAGCAAAAGTGATCAAACAAAGAAAGTAAAGGAGCAGTATGAACGAAAGTTAAATGATATGCAGAATGAGTTAAAGAAGTTGAATGCTGCTAAGAAAGAACAAGCTAAGCTGGAGAAGAACCAATCTCATCTAGAGAGACAACTGAAAACATTACGATATGAAATCGGTGAAATGAAGAAAACCAAGGTACCATTAATGTTCCACTTTCTTTATTATAAAAAAATAGTATAAGGAGAATAAAAGGTCTGTAAGTTATAACAATGTATTTTAAAGTTATACATAGATGTCAGGAAAAAAATAAATTAATGAAATGTTTGGTGTGTCAAAAATATTGGTAGTGAATGTGTGTCATTATTTGTTCAATGGGAGTGTGGCCTAGTAGCTAATGTGTCTGCCCCTCAACCCAGGGATCATTGGTTTGAACCCTACTGGGGTAGATTTCCCCTAAAATTGTGTGTATTGGCTGAATTTAGAAGAAAGTAGTCTGACAAAACACCAGTGCAAATATTGAAGATCTGTTCCACTACAGTAAAAAGTAAAATTTAACAGTTAAAATTACAAAAAAAATACGTATAAATTTCATTTTGTCAATATTTCTCAATATTTCACTTATAATTATAAGATAAACATGTATATTATTGTCACTTTATATCACTAGGTGAAGTTAATGAAACAGATGAAGGAGGATGCAGAGAAATCAAAACAGTTTGAACTGAGGAAGAACAAGGAGATGGCACTACTAAGGAAGGAACAGATCAAAAAAGAGGGAATAATAAGAACACTAGAAAACCAAAAGAGGCAAAAAGATATGGTGCTAAAACGAAAAACCGAAGAGGTTGGTATTGGTTTAATGAAAATTGTTGTGTGTGTTTCTTTTTGGGTATGTTTATTTGTGTTTTATGTAAATTGAAGCATTAATATTTAAATTGGGATGGTAGTTATCATCAAATTTCTTCCTGAAGGTTTTGATCAAGCTAACAAGATTTTAGGACTCAACATCATGTCTATTAACCATCCATAATACAATATAGAGGTTTCACCTCTGAGGCCAAGATTTTAAGCTTGCCAACTTCAAAACCCTTGGCCCTCATGCCTATAGAGGAAGCAATCAAGCTATGCTTGCAGAAGGTTTGTGGTTCTACTCAGGTGCCCCTGTTTGCCTGAAATAATATTTAAAAGGGCTCTTCTGTCACCACTTAAGGTAGGGAAGTCACTGTATGACCTACCCATTGTCTGTGTGACTTAAAATTCAACATGACAAATAAACAAGCCTCTTTTTAAAACTTCCGGTATGGGGTATTGATTTAATTTATGTGATATGATTTTGAAATATTAAACAGGTTGAAGTGTTAAGAAAGAAGAATAGACCAATGTCTTCCAGGACTGCAGGCAGAGTAGCTAACTATAATAAACCAACCAGTGTACCTGCAGGTAATCATCTTATCACCATTTTACCTACCTATATTGTGTCCTTGAAGGATGTATTTGTAACTTATTATGTTTTGGGACTACCCTCATATACATGCTTGATGTGACTTTGGTGTCCTCCACATTATCATAAAATGGAACAAAACAGTGAAAAAATAAAAATGTTTGAATTAAATATTTTTTATTACATTTAAAAGTCTGCTTTATTAAGTCTGTTGCTAAGAAAGTCTGATACTACTCTCGCTTTGTCTTTTTTTTCTTTCTCAAGGCTTCAAGCCTTGGTTACCAAGCACAGGTTTCGATTTTAAGAATGATTCTTAGACAAGAGTAAGGCTTAAACTTTTGGTTTTATGATTCAGAGGCCGGCATCTAAACAACTATGTCACTGTTCTCCTCCTTGGAAGTTTCTTAATAAAACAAAAATAATGAAAAATGTTCAGTTTTTAGGGAGAGTTAAAAAATATCAAAAAAGTTTTTTAAATTCTTTGTTTATTGAAAAATCATGGTTGTAAATTTAATTTTTAAAAAGGTCCTATGTATACATCGTCCCCGATGCGTAGAAGGAGAAGAGAAACTTTTTCTGCCAAAGTTGCCAATAAAAAATGGATGGCTTTAGAGAAAAATGTCAATGCTGTGATAAATAAGAAACAGACTATATCAAATATAGAGAAAGATATGGATGTCTGGTTAAAGGTAAGGACTTTGAAACAGACTTTAGAATCTATCACGAAGAATGTTGTGATGTTTAAAAGTTTTTTTGTTGTTTATTTTTGTAAAAAAAGCCACACAATTTCACCTTGAATTATCTGCATGGGTTTTTTAGTCCCCTACCGGTTTAACCAGAGGGGACTTTAGGTTTACCGTCCGTCTGTCTGTCTGTCCGTCTGTCCGTCTGTCTGTCAGTCCGTCCGTCCACAAAACTGGATCCCGCGATAACGCAAAAAGTACTGAAAATATTTTTATTGAAACTTGATATATGGATAGATGGCAGTATGGAGATTATGCACGTCTTTTTTTTTCTTCCTATGTTGAAAATTCTGGTTGCTATGGCAACAAATAGTCTGAAAATATGGCAAATTTAACACATAAACTGGATCCAGTGATAACTCAAAAAGTACTGAAAATATACTTTTATGAAACTTGAAATATGGGTAGATGGCAGTCTGGAGATTATGCACATCTTTTTCTTTTCTTCCTATGTTGAAAATTCTGGTTGCTATGGCAACAAATAGCCTGAATTTCAAGATTTCTGATTTAAATTTTTCAGCTTTTTCACTATATGTTCTTTATTTCTTAAGGTGTTTACTTCAAACTTTAAATATAAGTTTCTGGTCATCAACCACATCATAATGTGACAAGGTTTATAACTCTAGCACAAAAAAATATCAATATTACCTCCCTTGAACTTAGATTTTTTAGGGGAAAAAATGTTGTCTTTTTTTAAATAACTTCTTTTTATTTCCTAATGTATCTACTTCAAACTTCATATATATGTTTCTTATTATCACTCGACATTTTTGAGAAGGTTAAATACTCTAGCAAGACTATTTCCAGAATTATGTCCCGCTTGAACTTAGATTTTTTTCGAGAAACTGGTATTTTCACTCCAACTTCTTCATTCCTTATAGGATTTACTTTAAAAATCCCACATCGTAATAATATGACAAGGTTGTATAAACATAATTTCCTTACTAAGCATGGAAACTTAACACATTACTGTGATATAGACAAACTTATTTTATTATGTTTTGTGGTCGATATTTTCAAATACAGACTTCATCCTCAAATTCATTATAAATGGCAAGATCGGTAGGGGACTACTGTATTGCCCGCAATACTATCAAATGCTTGTTTTATTAGAAAAGTCTTGTACTGTTAACTCTGCAGTCTTAGCACAATAGGGAGAGCATCAGATTTTTAATCCAAGGGTTGCTGGTTCATTGTTTGGGCAAGATGCGAATTTCACATTGACAATTAATTTCATGTGGAATAAGTAGTCAGTCATTTGCGGAGAAATTGGTAATTACTGATTAGTTATCCAGGAAAACCGATCAGGTGGACTGATTCCAGATATATGACCAAAAATGTGTAAAAAAATAGACAAACAAACAAGTATTTGAATAACTTAAATTTTGGATTAGTGCATTTGTATTACTTTCCTTGCAGCATAGAGAAAAACTGGGAAAGAAGTTAGAAAAGTGCCAAAAGAAGAAGGAAACAATGATTGCTTTAGGCAATGTAAGTATGATATATTTAATAAAGTTTTCCTTAAAAGTAGGTGAAAAATATTCTTGAAAAAAGGAAAATACATCAAAAGCAATAAAAATAAATGTTTATAGGTGTAAATTGGTTCGGTTTAGTCTTATTAGTTTATACAGAATTTTGTGGCAGTATGATTTTTCTGTACGAAGTAATAAGTAAAGACTTCCTCTTGAATCTGTTAACTGAAATTAACCAGTACTTACTTAAGCAAAGAGTGTTAAATATGGCTTGCACTAGACGGAGTTTGAACCCACATGGTAAACAACTATTAGTTTACTGGTCTGATGTGTTAACCCCTCAGCCATGCCCCCATTACCATTTAGTCTGTTAATGAAAGACAAAAATATTCTACATATATTAGAAAAAGTTAAATATAAGAACAATAACATGAAGTAGTGGGGCAACTTTTCACAACTGCTATACAGCATTTAATATCATATTTCCTGTTTTGAGCTAGGCATTATCTAAGTTGTGCCCTTTGTTTACAATGTTTACAGTGGAATTTAGATAAGCTATTTGTTGTCTTCAACACAACCATGGTTATTCACCTTGGCAAAAATGATGGGAGGGTTATAGTTTTGGCATGGTCTACCCTCTGGTCTTGGTCTGTGCAGGTCTAGTATAAAGTTATTGCCACTGAACTGATGCAAATAAATGTCTGTTTGTTAGTACAACACGAAACGTTTTTAAAATATTTCATATATTTATACTCTTGAGATTATTTTTGTTGAAGTATTAATTTTGATGTTTTACAGCCGGAAACTGAAATTAAAGAAGTAACAGATGTTATAGATTCTTTAAAGAACCAGGTAGAATTTGCCCAAGATAATATAACAGAGTGCCAAACCAATATTGTACAAGTAGAGGAGGCAAAGGTATGACATTGAAATAAGTTATTTTGATAATGGTTCTTTGAGATAGTGCTAAACATAAGCTTGTGATGGCATAGTTCACTGATTAAACCTTGATGTGTAGGAACCAAAAAATGTTTCAGCCTTTGACACTAATATGGCGCCTGGCCAACCTGCACTTCTGCAGGGTTTTGAATTTATATATGAGACAACAGATGTGCCAATGAAAACAACTGATTTGGCCAAGGGTTAAGGAGGATATTGTCATCAAAGACTCAAAATAAAACTGATTTTAACAGCATTTCTACCGATGATATGGATCATTAATCTATAAATGATGAAAACCCTGAGTCTGGCCAGGATCTATCATATTGGCTGACTAACTTCAATTTTCAACTTGAAATCCCCAAATTGATGTTGCAGTTTCAAACATGGAAGCTGAACAAGTCCATTTGCAAAATTTGTAAATAAAATGTTAATGCAGGCTTGAATATAAATTTTATTTTTTTTTTTAATTAAAAGTGTTAAGTTATTGCTTTTGCATAGGACTCATTGAATTTTCATATTTTTACCAAAAATGAAGTCATTAATGTTACATCATTGAACCAATAGTGTTGCTTTTTTGTTACCTGCATCAATAATTTTGCTTTTTTTTTGCTACCAGAAATAATGATGTTGTTGTTTTTGTTATAGGAAGAAGCAGAGAAATTTGATCCTATGAATCTTGTAAATACAGTCAGTATAGAGGAGGCTAAATATCTTCTAGAACATTTTATTAATATGTCCATATCTAAGGTAGGATTTTATTGTAGAGTTTTGTTAAACAGGTTATCTGAAAGAAAATACTGGTTATTAGATTGATGTGAGATTGGTGGGTGAAAACAATTTTCTTGGGACATCCATGGATGAGTGGCTAAGGTTGTTGACTTTAAACCACTTGCCCCTCACCTATGTGGGTTCAAATCCCAATAGAGATTTTGGATTCTTTTATGTGAGGAAGCTATCCAGCTAGCTACGGAACATCTGTGGTTCTACACTAGTGTCCAGTGTGCCTGAAATAATATACGGAAAGGCACATGAGGTCTTCCTCCACCAGTAAAAGCTGGAACGTCGCCATATAACCTATAGTGTGTCATTGTGACATAAAACCAATGACACAACAACTTTCTTTTATGTGCAGTGCAACTTCAGTACAGCAACCCTTTGTTGAGCAATAACCTATTTAAAAAATTTGTATCAATTCTTCCAAATGTTAGAACTTCATAATAAACTTAAACTATTTAGTACAACAACATCTGTTAGGTACAACTTAAGTCTTCTTCTTATTTGGTTGGCTCTACAGAGGTTGTATACTGCAGATTGAAAAGAAAGTGTTTAAAAAGTTTGGGGTTTTTTTGTTGTGTTTTTTTGGTTACAAAAGTTTTAATATTTTTTCATTGATGTTTAAAAATTTGTCATTCTTGCATTTAGTTCAAATTAAAAACTCTTCATACTAGAGAATATGACATTCTTCAGTCACTTCATAATTTATTATGAATATGCAAAATATTTAACATACATATGCCATATGTTTGGATTTAATTCATTGTAGGGTCTAGCACTATCAGCGAAGGACTCTGAAGTACGTGAGTTAATGGCTAAGTTACACCAGACAGAGTTAAACAATACATTACAACAAGATCTGTTAAAACACATGATGGCTGATAGGGTAGATATAGAGGTGGATAATCTGATGACCAATCAGGTGGATGGTATGTCTATTGCTGGCAGTTAAACATTGTTTATTTATTAGATAGTTTATTAGATACATACAAAAAGTTTAAGCAAGTTATGTTATATTCAGGTTAGAGACAGGTTCCTGGAATTAAGAAGTACTGGTGTCAGGCATGAAAAGGTGACTGAGGCATAGGGCTCTCCCTGGGGCTTTTAAAGTAGGATTCCGGAACTCCCAAAGAGAAAAAAGTAGGATTGCAATGAAACCAATGAGAAGTCCAGTTCTATTTCGAACAACTTAACTATACTACAAAAATTATGAAGTTAAGAAATTAAAAAGATTTGTTTCAACTTTATAACATGAACTTAGAATTTTGTCAAAAGTGCTTTTTTCAACCAACAAGCGTTAACACTACATGAGGGGCTCTCATAGTATCTGGTAATATTTTCTTCTAAGCCAAATGAAATGATTCATCATTATATCAACTCTAGCATAATTTTCTGCATCATGACAGATCAAATTTACGCTCTCATATCCTAAGTTTGTCAAAATTTTAGTATATTTTATTTCTAGATATGGACAGTTCCACAAGCTCGTCTTCCAGTTCCCCGGTTGATAGGTGAGTTATCTTTTCCTGGTTACTCTCTAATGCTAGAGGTTAGAATATTACACATTTGAAGTTACAAGTATCTTATGATAAAATGGCAGTATTAACACTTCATAAGCTTGTCAGTAGTAGAAATAGATCTTGATTCTGTGTACATTGTCATTATCATACAGTTTGGAATTATCATACAGTTGGGAATGTTTTGTAATAGATGTATTTGAGTATTATTATGGTAGTTGTACGGTGAATTACAAAGAAATGAATAACAAATAGAGCTATATCACACAATAACGCAATAAAATTCTAATATGAACATATAAAGAGACCTAAAGGCAATAACTACTTAAAAACTTTTAACCTTGAACTGTCTGTTAACAATTTATAAGATATCAGGATGAATATTTTTTAAGTTTGTCTACCAACATATGCAATACGTGGGTGATATTTGGTAGATGTTCTCATTGCTTACTTGATCTTTATATATCAATTAATAAACAAGTTTATATGATTCTCTTGAACTGCCATTTTATCATAATTTATCTATAATAACCTGCTGTGTTAAACTATAAAAGTTTTCTATGTACAGAAAATCAGATAATCACCATTGCTGAGTGATCATTTTTGAAAGAATCAGAAAAATATGGGCAACTTGTCGGGATTTTAACTTGAAATAGTTAACATTACATGATAGGTCTAAAGTTAGATAATTATTCAAGAATTCAGCTCTGCTTTAACTATTTGAAATGATACTTTAAAAGTATAAGTGCATGCCGCTCCATTTTGGTAAAAAATCAAATTCTTTAGTAAATTACAAAAATAATCATATTTTTTGCAATAACTATGATTTCTTTGTTTGAATTAAAACATTACCAATTTCGAACTTTAAATTAAAATTTAAAACTTTTTGAATGCGAATTTTAGCATCAATGCTTTTTTTCTGCTGCTAGCATTTATTAAGAAACAAATGTTTTTTTGAAAACAACTGCTCGGCTTTAGTTTGCTGTCGAAACTAATACTAACAATATGGCAGACACAATTTATTTTTTGGTATAAAAGTTTCATATTTTTCATGTATTTTACTGTAAACCCTATCAGAACGCGAAGAATAACAATTGCTTTTTTTCCGGTGAGTTTAATCGGGCCAATTTCAAAAACATGATATATATATATTATTGTTGATTTTTAACGAGCTTGGTTGTAAATGCTGATGCGGTGGTGTCGAAACATTGATTTATTTTTGTGTTGATTTCCCTTGCATGTGCGTATAAATTGCCTCGTTTGATATACTATATTGATTTTTTTTTTGTCCACATGTTGGTTATATTTTCACTTTATAAAAAATTTTAAAGACCAACTTTCAATAATGAAAAGTCCATTTCTTGAATCACATGACACTTTATTTGACAATAAAGTAGCAATTACTATATTTCATTGTGATTCTTCCACGAGGAAAATTTTGTTTTAGCAATTTCTCATGCTGCTATATTTTTTAACTGTTTTGAAATGGAGGATTATACAGAAAAGACCTTATTGCTAAGAATGTTATTTGTGAAATAAATAAAAAAAAACAGATTAAGAGGAATATTGCTTTGCTGTTTTATTGTGATTTTTTTTAGCTTCGCTTTGCTATATGAAACCAGGAACAAAAGCACATGCTGTTTTTATATACGGATCATGTTCAGTTTTATGTTAGCTTTATCTAGTTCTTATTTCTTTGCAGACAGAGAAAAAATATGCTTTACATTTAAGCAAAACATTTATTTGTATTTTTTTTGTGCTAGGTTGTCTGCAAGAAGCAAAAGTCACTTTTTTAAGGTGAATCAAAGGTCATAAGGCTGAATGTTATAATTGTGTTACACACTTTCTTGACATATTGAGGAGTAACCAAGGTTTATTTAAATACCACATATGGGAACGTTTATCTTATATCATTAGTTAAGAATTATTTAAGAGCTTATATTAAGCAATATGCCTGATGGTCATTCAAGTAAAGAAAAAAAGTTGTGTATTCTATTTTTATATGATACTTCATATGATTATGGTAAAATGAATGGTCTATTTATATATGGCAAAGTCACAAGGGGAGAGGCTGCTTATTGGTTAATATTTCTGCCTCATGCCTCAGAGATAGTGAGTGTGAGCCTAGCTGGGGTGTGACCATGTGACATCAGTTGACACCAGTATTTGTTTAAAAGATTAAAAGACACAGATTTTAGAGTTATTTAAATAATAAGCTGGAAGCTTTCTTTACAATTGAGCTAAAGTGAATAAGGTTTAAAGTAAAATTAATAAAATATGTCACGTGTCTCAATGTACAACCATTCTGTACAATTACAAGTCAGACATTTCATTGTCTATAGTGTGATGAAACCATTTGTTTGATTGTTGGGTGAGGTACAAAATAATCAATTGTAAAATGGTACAAATGCAGAAATACACATATAATTAAATTTGATTAGACAGCGCAAGTGTGGTGTGATATTATATAGAGAAATAGGAGCTTATGAATGGGGCATAGCTTTTCGCTACAGAATGCTGGGCTGCATGCAATTCTATCCAATATCTGATAGGACAGAAATATATTATATCACTGTTATGAATGCTGTATAAGACAAGTGTATCTGATAGGACAGAAATATATTACATCACTGTTATAAATGCTGTATAAGACAAGTGAATCTGATAGGACAGAAATATATTACATCACTGTTATAAATGCTGTATAAGACAAGTGAATCTGATAGGACAGAAATATATTACATCACTGTTATAAATGCTGTATAAGACAAGTGAATCTTTTATATGAAAATTTGAAATATGATTGTAACTGAAGAAAAAAAAATCATGAAAATTTACTTTTTGCCATGTTTCAATTTTTTTTGTACAGAATAATTTTGTTACAGGTGTAGAAACATTGTATAAAGGTACAAAATTGAAATTTAATTTAATGTAGTTTTTTTAGGGCAGGATTCTTGATAAAATGTGGAGGCACTAAAATTTTGTTTTGGAGGTTTTTTTTTTTATTAGGATCCTAGTCAGCCTTTGAGATTTTATCAACTTGAAAGTTTTCTAATTTATTATAGAAAAAGATAACAAAATGCAGATTAATAATTTCCTATCTAATGACGAATGATGTACACCTATTTATCATGTAGTGGATAGTATCTGATGAAAGTATTTTGTACTCACTTATACGTTTCAAATAATATATAGTTCTACATATCCATCAGTATTAACAATTTTCCTTTTTTTCTCTTTTTTCCCCCTCTCTCAACACTTTTTGGCTGTCACGATTTTCGGACGGGATAATCTGGATATACGTACATTTACACGAACTCACGCCACGGGATACGTGCACACACACAAAAAACAGTGACTTTTGTTTATTTGCTTTTGTGCTTGTATGCTGTCTCCTAGTTCTAGAGGTGTTCTGGGTATAAGATAACGCAACCCTGTATCGGCACACCCCCTCGCCTCCCACTTGTATGTTTATATCTTGTATATCAGATATATATATTGTGTATCTGTATTCTTGTATAAGTGCTATGTTTGATTTATATTGAAAACTTATATTTGGAAAAAATGAAGACAGACTTTGTAAAAAACTTTGTAAAAACTGTCTTGAGATTGAATTATAACAATTTTGATTTGTATGGGCAATAATTACCAGATATTTGTGTCAATTCCACAACTGTTACGATGTAACACGAGTTTTAACTGTGAAACGTTGACAGTTTTTGTTTTTTTGTTGTTGTTTTTTTCAGTTATGGAAAATTAATTTAATGTTATTTTCATTTTGTATATAAGTAATAATAGTTAGTTATGAACTTAAACAAAAAATAAAATGAAATAAAGGTTTATAGCTTCAGAATTACTTTCTGACTTGATTTTTCCAAAAGTTTTCAAGAAAATTTCTTTGAGAATGTGTATGCAAGTAAAAAGGATCCCTGGTTTTTGATCTTGTGTATATTTCTAAAATATGAAAACAATCTTGCATGCATATTTTCATCAAGCTATTATACAATGGAGCCTATATCATTGTTGCAGACTCTTTGTGCTTTATTAAAAACAAAATGTAAAGTTCAAAGAAATAGGGAGAAGTTATTAGAAAATATTAACTCTGGGGAGAAGTTTTGTTTTTGATGTGTATTATTTATAATAGAAATTAAAATAAAAGGTGATGTGGAAGAACATTCCATTGTATTTTTACATGCCAGTGCTAGAAATGTGATAACATTGAATCTTCAAATGCTAAAAATGATATTTTTTTAATTTTAGAAGTCCTTATGAAGAAGTTATTTCGCAAGAAATGAATAAATATAATATTTTATGTATTATATATAAATTTTAGATATATAATTGGTATAATTTTATATTGATAAAATGATGAAGTTTTTAATGTTATACACATTTATTTGTATGTGATATAAACTATTGTGATAGCTTTTCTATATTTATATTTCTTGTGTCTCCATTCATAGTTCACAGTATGTCAGACTGTGTCCTGTGTGATAATTTTGTCTGTATAAACCTTAACCTGCTGAATTTTTGTAATGGATTTGCCTTCCTTTGAATTTGGAACAGTTCATTCAATGTTTAAGGGATTTCAATATCAAAATACAAAAATTGAGCTACCAACAGTATAGAACCTGTCAGACTGCATGAATGTACAGGCTGGCCTGGCTCTATACTGGTAGCAAAGGCTAATCACTAGTGGTTCTTGCAGGATAAGGGTTAATTATCGTCTTGTATGATAATAGGTTTCAAGTTATCTTTTGCATCCATGTTTTTTGTACTTTGGACATGCAGAATGGCATCTGTCTCCATACTACACTTGTTTTTTTACTCAGATAACTTCATCAGATTTCCTTGCTGTATATTTGGATTTATAAAGCCAGTATTATGGATGAAATATACCTGTGTTCTGTAAATATTAAATTTTATTTGAAAACAGTCATTTTGTTTGAAAGCTTTTGAATATTTCTAGTCAAGTGCAGTCTGGTTTTTATGAGTTTATATTGATTATGGAGGTTTGTTTTTTGGGTATTGATAAATGAACACTTTCATATTTCCAGATTTGAAATTGACTTGTTAAGTTAGTTGTTGAAAAGAAAGTAGTGTTTGTTTTGCTCATTTCACAATTTCAAAGTTTGTATATAAAACTGTAAAGAAAAAAAAATCAGCATTATTTCTTTTTGTTCTGAAAAGTTGGAGTTTTATTGTTGTACAGAAATAATTTTTTTTCATTGTGTACATTATATATTAAACCACATTAATAACTAAACTGCTTAATTGAAAGTATTTATTAATAAAATGGTATCTTAATATATAAAATAAATTTTTGATGCATTGTTTAAATGTTGGTGTCTTTCATCTTTTTATGCAACAGGGTATTTTTTTAGAATGTATAATGATTTAAGTTTTCAGTCGTTGTTGGTGTTATTGTTATTGCATTTGCTGATGATAAGCCTTTTGACTTCTGCTTGAGGCCGTTTCTGAATTGTTGTCAAGTGGATAAACCTTCTCGTTCATGGAGAAATCTTAAGCATGATTAAGGACATTCATAGATCTATGTATCTAATTCAGAGAAATGCAAAATTTTTAACTTTCTCTTGATAAGATTTATTTTATCTCCGTAATATATTGTCAAAGCCCCATATTTCACAGCCATACTCCCAGTAAATGTCTCAATTTCTCAAAAGTTTCTTGATCGAATTACTTTCTTTGTTTATTTATTTTTTTGTGTTCATTTTTGTTTAACTTTTATTATTTTACTTGGTAGTGTGCATTACAGTTTATGTTGTCAATAGATCTAGTTTGAAACTAGAAATTTGATTTTTCTGTAGTATTTTGCAATTTTGATCTGATTTGATTTGTTGGCACATTGTGTAACAGAATCTGTAGAATTATTTTGGTTAATTCTATATTGCATTCTGTTTGTCAAAGCATGGCACTTTTATATCCCCTTGGAAGTATTGTTAGCAGAATTCTTGTTGTTGGAGTAAAAATTTTGTGTGTGACATTTTGATGAGATTTTCATTTCACTATGGTTTTGAATTTGAATAAGAAAAATATTGATTATCTGACTTTAGGCAAGAATGATTAAATTATTAACGATGTTTATATTTATACCATTTTACATTTTCTTGTACTGCATGTTTTAATCACATTTTATATGAAATATAACAACATATTCAAGATAGTAGGTACTAACACTATTTGTTTGCTTTTTCTATAAACAGAAAACTGCTAAAAGTATATGCGAAAGTAAGTTGATAAAAATATCATAAATTTTACTGGCTATTCTTCATGTGCACTTAATTTGAACTGTGAATGTACTTGATTGTATTTTCAATTGGAAAAGAATACTAAATTTATTTTTTTGTGGGGAGGGGAAGGGTATATGGGGAAAAAAGATGTTTCTAATTAATGTACAAAAAAGAAAGATTCACTCAAAGGTAATGTTTTTACATGGAAAAAGTTGTAACTTTTGAATGTTCTTCTATTATTTTTTCCATACAGGTTTATTTTGTAATACATTGATCCATTTGATTGGATGTTATTCAGTTCACAGTTCAAATATCTCCTACAGCCCTTTATTTTATATATATGTATATGCCTCTATGCGGAATAATTCTTTTTGTATGTCAATGCCAGACTTGCTTTTTAACCTAATATTTCCATATTTCTTTCCCTCCCTATTTCTCTGTCACTATGGGAACTACAGCATGTTTGAGAGTCGTGTGGAACAAGCGGCACAACCTCCACAGAAATCTACTCTGATGTCCTCCTCGAGCTGGGAAGCAGCCTTAAAGAAAGATAAGGTAAGTCTGGTACCTTGCATGTATGAGGATTGTTCCAAAGTAGCGTGTAAAGATTATATATGTAATTCATTACACAATTTTCAAAGTTTTGACTCACAAATACTGTTACTTGATTGAATGGAACAAGCAAACTTTGCCACAGAAATGACAATATCATCATACTGGGCATTTTGACCCACACCACAAGCATTATCGCATCACTCACTTAATGAAGCATTTACAGTTTACTGATTTATAAGCACTTTAGACACTTTTATGACAAATCCATATCTTAAATAGTTTTCTTATGGTCAGTCTTGCTCAGTGAACGGGGCAATGGTTTGTTTTGTCAGTTTTGTTAAATTCTACGCAACCATTAAAATGTCATTAATTTGAAGTTAATGTGAATGACAAACAGTATTGTTACACTTAATGTGATAGACCCTTGATCTGCTGGAACCATAAGTGATATTAGCTTTTACAGCCAGTATAGAGCCTAGCAAGTTTGTCCATCTGTGCAGTCAGACCAGGCTCTTTGTACTGTTGGTAACTCAATTTGTGCATGTGATATTGAAATTCTTACAAAAAGAATGGACAGTTCTAAAAGTTCAAAATGGGGCATTATCCATAACTCAAATTCAGCCTGTGAGGATGTCAAACATCTATGCATTGAGTATTTAAAAGCACATGTTAGTGTCTTATGTTTCAACAAAAATCAGCAAATAATACAGTCAATTTAATTTTAAATGAAAAGTAAATTCCACATCACAAAAAATATGTTATCAGATTATACACTTTTGGAACAATCCTTGTAAAATGTGAACTTCTTGATTATTAAATTTAGAAGAGGAATTAAAAGAATATTTTAAAAATACCAACAGGAAAACGTATATGGACAAACAAAAAAATCAGAAAAAATAGATAAAACTATTGCATGAAAAACTGAAAGACATGTTTTTCTCCTAAGTATTATAATGTTTATAAACAAGAGATTGTATTATCCAGGAATATGTTTTTTTATAGGGCTACATATTTTCATCAACAGAAACTTAAGAAAAAGTCATGACTGTTATTTTCTCCATTACAATGCTTTCATGTGTAAGGTAGGGAGGCATCTTGAGTTAATGTTATTTCTATACTTTGTTATGGAAGTGTGTGTGTAATTTGGAACGAAAAAATGTATGCCTTGAAATTTGGCATGCGTTATGTGACATTAAACATGTAACCGTAATAATTATTAGAATATTGCTACCCTGAAATTGTATAGTGCTGCATTAAAGATGCAGCCTCAGAAGAACTTTGGTTGTATAATTTACCAAAGTTATGAAGTAAATGCGAATTTAAGATTAATTGAAATATTTATTTACCAAATATTCATTTGAGGTGATGTGATGACAATTTTCAAAAGATTACTTTTTTATCTGTAATTTTGTGAACTATGCAATTCTATTGACCAAGATTTTATGATTTATACCCTTAACTTGCTGTAACTGGAAGAATATGCAGGATGGCATGCCTCTATGCTAGTGCCATTCGGAAGCCATTGCTTCAGCAAGCATTTGATCTAAAAGGTTATCTTTGATGAGATTTAAGTTATGAGCAAGCTTTTTTGTGATAAAATAATGTAAATAATATGTAGGAATGAACTTGTACTGATTGTTTTACTTGACTGAGAAAAATAAATAATTTATTATGCATTTGCCTTTTATACAAAGTTTGATATACATGTATATCTGAGGAAATTTAGGTTTACAATATACATTCAATATTTGGTTATATATTTCAGTATAATATTATGTTATATAAGTCTTACACAAGCATGTAATTTAAACTATGGAATGCAGGACCCAATAATGTATATAATATTACCTTTTTTGAAATATGTGCATTCAAAGCATGTATCCTACAGGATGTATATTGTAGACTTGTTACATCCTTGATTTAGCCTAAATTGGGAATTTTTTATCCAACAAGCTTAATTTAACACATCATTAAAAGTAAATATGAAATACGAGGGGTTATCCAAAAATTCGTGGACTTTTTAAATATCTTTTGAACGTCTGCGTGTATTGTAATGAAATTTTATCAGCATACATTGTAGAATATTATCAACACATTTTGAAAGGAACAGTCAATTGTGTCCATAAATAATGATTTTATGTTGCTTTTAAATAAGCACATACACGTGACCCGGCGCACGGTAGAAAAACGCAGTAAGTCATCGTATATTTCTTGCTAAAAAACTAAAAAAATAACGTAGAAAACCCGCTGAACATCGCATGTTTCTTCTTTGATGTCATTTAAGTAATTCTTTAAAATAATTGACGTCATTTCCGTTTATTTTTGTTGATATCGCTAGAAACGCCAGACGCCTTTATTGTTTACAACGGGAAAATGACGGACACGCGGTAATTAGAAAATCGCGCGATCATAAATCGATCATAAATTTTTGTTGTAATTCGGGAATGACACCTACAAAAACATTTGATAAAAATCAGCAGACTAACAGTGAAAAGAAAATTTCACGATCATTAGTGTTAAAGTGGCATAAGAAATTTAGTGATGGACATAACTTTCGGAAGCAATAACCGTCATTGACTGCGTAACGTTGAAGCACAAGTTGTACGTTAATATTATGACGTTGACGTCAATAATTTTTTGGAGTGCGCCGCTGTCGCCGACATGTGTTTATGTAAAATTAAATATTGTTGTAATGTAAAAAGCTACTCACATGAATTTTTCTGTGTTTATTTGTTATTAATGCTTCTAAGCAGTGTAAGAATTTCAAATTAATATCTCAAATATATTTTACGCAACAAAGAAAGTCCACGAATTTTTGGATAACCCCTCGTACATGAAATAGCTTAATAAGATAAATGTTTCAAAATGTTGATTATATTTGAGACTCTGGGTGCCAGTCTTAAGTTCCAGACCATCTCAAGTGATTACTATTGTATCAGTGTTATTGAAATATTTATAACTCAAGAAATACAGAACAGTTTTTATAACAATCATAAAGAAAATACAGTAGAAAAAAACTTGTTACATTTTAATATAGGAGTTGCAAAGACTTATTCCGGTAAGTAAAGACAGAAGTATATATATCCTGTAACAAATAGCTGTTGTTCTAATTATAATGCTAAATCTTTATAAAAGATATTCTAGATGATATTTATTTATTTGTCAATGTCTGTAGACAATAGATGACTGGGGAATTTTTCTAAGGGATATGTTTTTCTGCTCACCTTACGGCATGTTATGATGAGTGAACTGTAAGGATCATTGATTGTCTGTTATTTGTCCTATAGCTAGATCGTATATAGGAAATTAAGGCTGTCAAGATCTTTGTTTAGAAAACCAAGAGGCCAATTAAAACCCAGTGCTTTTAGGGCCAATTTAGGGCTAATTAAGACCCAGTGCTTTTAAGGGCCAATTTGGGGCTATTTGAGCCCCAGAGCTTTTTTTAGAGCCAATCTGGGACTAATTAAAACCCAGTGTTTTTACAGGGCCACTTTGGGTCTAATAAAGCCTAAATGCTTTTTTAGGGCCAATTTGGGGCTAATTAAGAACCATTGCTTTTAAGGCCCAGTTTGGGGCTAATTAAGACCCAGTGCTTTTTAGGGACAATTTGGGGCTAATTAAGACCCAGTGCTTTTAAGGGCCAAATAAGTATGTAAAGACACAAACTATTAAGTAGGAGTCAAATTTGTAAATCTGAGTCCATAGACCTGATGGTGTCCTTTATACTGAATAATGTCATCACATTAGAATTAACTGTTGATCAGGTGAGCAATACAGGGCAATTGGTTTCTTCAGGGTGTTTCTTTTCTTTGTTCTTTGCAGTTGGGGATTTTATTTTTGAAATTTACCATTATATTTTATCATGAATGAAAAAACTAGTTTGTGTAACTTTAAATGTCATATTAGTGAATAAAACTTACAAGTTAATGAATTAGAAATGAATGTCAACTATTGGTATGAACATGTACGTCCCCGCATGCCAGAATGTCTAATATTTTATATCATGTAATTGATTAATTGTACTATTGGCAACCATCATTATGGTAAAGTATTGAACTAAAGTACTAAAAGTATTAAAATGATTTAATATGTATAATGAAGTATATTCGATTAAAACATCAACTTACCCACTATGATATTGTGACATGCATGAATTTATAGTCTATATTAATATTGTGAAATCATGTCCAGTAACATTAGAAACAGACTATAGTAATGTCAGTATCTGTGTCCATGTTAGAGTTATAGAATGTACTATTCTAGCAAAATTTTCTTTTCTGTATTTAAACTTTGATAGCGAGAATTAGAGCGGTTTTATCGAAGGTCGTACCCGGTTAGTCCAGTGAGTATTCTAGCAACATGCACATATTTATAAAGTATATCACTTTTGTCTCACATTTTATATAATGCAAAATATATGCCAAGCAATCCTTGTTTCAGCATTTCAAACATTTTCTAGGTCAGCAGTAAACAGTGTTCTGATTGGTTGAGAATGTTTCACCATTATAACCAATCAGAAGCATTGTATCAATGGATATTTTCACTTGTTATTTAATTTATAGCTTAATGTGCAATTAATTGATGTGCAGTTGATTTTCACTACGAAATTGCCATCCATGTGCTCTTTAAAAATACACAGTCTAAGTAAAGGTGTTGCACAGTCTAAGTAAAGGTGTGCTTTAAACTTCACTTCATATTGGTTGTGTTGCAGCATGACCGCAGCTTCTATCAATATCATTGAAAGCTTGGTGATCTATTTTTAGTATCATTATGCTTGCCTGTTGGCTTTTCATATGAAGATTACACAAATGATATCATCCCACAGGGTTACATTGACTTTAGAGATGTGCTTTTAGTGTGACGTTAAAATGCACGGACATTAAAACTTTTTACCAGTCTTTCAGAATGATTGTCCCTATTGAGTCTTTGCCAAACATTTGAACTGTCTGTCTTTCACTGCCCAATTTGAAATGACTTTTGCATACTGTGCAAGTGCTCATGTAAATCACTTGCTCAGTTTGCCAACTTTGAAACCATTTATGTAAAGTGTATTCGTCCTCTTTAAATTAATTGACTCACACATAGCTAACATAAAGCAGATTATCCTCTTTAAATCATTTGTCATCAGAGCCAACATCAAGAGTATTGTCCTTTAAAGCTCTCTTTAAATCAATTGTCACATGTAGCCAACATTGAATATAATGTCCTCTTAGACACACATAGCCAACACTTAACATATTGTCCTCTTAAATTCAAATCTCAAATTCATCCAACATTAATAATATTGTCTTTTATAGCCCTCTTTAAATCATTTGTCACAGTCATAGCCAACATTACTTCCCACAAAGATAGTAAATACCCTGTACTCTCATATTCAGTTGCCCTTCATCTCTCACATAACTTGTCCTCTCAAATTTCTACATCCAATGCTATATAGTATGTCCGAAAGACTGACTCCTAAAGGATTCTTCCATGGCACCTCACAGTTTTATCCATTTTAAACTTGAGAAATATTATGACATTTTATAAGTATGATTCAAGTAAGGAAATGAAAATAGAAAGTGTTAATAAAAGTCTGTTTTTTGTCAATGTCAGTGTAATAGTGTTACTTTGTTAATGTCATTTATTAGACTAAATGTATATATCGTAAACTATTAACTAAATGTATATTATTACCGTACTTTATGCGTAATATAGATGATAATACAGTTAAATATTGTACCTATATCAATATATAAAATAACAATCACAATGTACCATATATTATAACTAGACATTCAGGCGGACATCCAAGTTTGTGAGATGTTCCATGCAGTGGTATAGACAGGTAAATTGATTAATGGATGCAAAAATTGTTTAACATTTCTAAAAACTGAATGGATATAGTGTTTTAGTAATTTGAAATGATGATATTTGTGCTTCATGATTGTTGTCTTTTCTGCCTTACTTCTTTGAGAGTGACAATAATTCCTCCATGTGTCAAAGATGTTGTAATTTTCTAATTCACCATGTGTAACCTGTAGTGCCAATTGTCGTACCACACAGTGGTAAACCAGTAAACAGGTGTTCGCAGTTATATATGAAGTTGCCATTCTTAAACAAATCTTTTGTGTCTGTACATTTTATTGTTGTGGAGACTCAGATGTATTTGTGGGGTATTTTAGATTTTTCTTGCAAAAGTTTTGTATTTTATATACTTTATGTATTTAGAAATAATTGGGATCCATTTGAACTTTATTTGTGAAATGGTTCTGCATAAAGTTCAAAAGGTCATGACATTCTTTGACACATAATAAAGTTCAAATTGAGGTAATAATTTAATGTTTTTTCTCAGTAACATCATGTTTCTTAAAATGCTTTATTTGAATTCTATTGACAATTAATAAAAAAATCAACAACAAAAAACAGCTGTCTCAATTTTTAAGCTTTCAAACTAATATAAATACTGTAATTGCCCCATTAAATGCCCTGGGCACATGAAAAGGGGGGGAGGGAGATTACATAAAGAGGATACTATAATCATCATATAAACATAAGGGCTTAAGATGGGGCAAATTGGTATTTTTTTAAATAGTGTAAAAAAAATTTTTTAATTCTGTCCTAAAAAAAGGTTATGTCTTGTTAATAATTGATGAATGTCTTGACATCTGCTAACCTTTTAACCTGCTGGAATAGGGCATTTGCCACCAGTATAAAGCCAGGCCAGCCTGAACATCAGGCTGATTAACATCTGTGCAGCCCGATTAGTCTCTTTACTGCAAACACTTGTCTTGATATCCCAATAATTGATAATGGACCATGCAAATATGGAAGTTGGACAAGTTCATTTAAGATATTCGGCAGGTTAATGGATAAAACTTTCCTGAAGTCTTGCTATCTTTTCTTTATCATTACATAAATCACGCTGACGTTTTTAATGCTACAAATTTTTTGATATTGTTTGCTATTAATTTATAAAAGATACATTGTATATTAGTTCTGTACAAGTATAATAATCTGTGTGAAATTCAATGGAAATTTTAATGTACAGTTATGTGTGAGAGGATAGTTGAGTAAAATTATACAAAACTAGGATTTAATGTCACATGATAAGTAAAAATAATGCATGCATGTTGGTGTTTTTTTCCAGCTTTGAATTATTTTAGTAGTCAAAATGATTACCATTTGATTTAAACAATGATGTTAAATATGAATTGAAGGATATTGCATTGATATACTGCATTTGTTATATTAATAGGCTCGTAGGCGCACCCCCACCAGACCTGATGAATTATTGTATGCTGGTAATGAGGAGGCGGGACCAATGTTGAACACAGTACCGGAAACACCAGATGAGAACACGGCTACTGTAACGAAAATACCACCTGTGATGTCAATGAGTGCACCACCAACTACCACTGTTACCAGTACTGAAGGAACGTTGATGCCGCCACCAAAACTCTTACCTCCGCGACAAACTAGCTCTTCCAGGTATGTGAACATTCTAGATTACATGAATTTAATGTATTTGTTCCTATTTTTTCTTTCTGGTGTTGTCCAGTTTTCCTAATGGACATGAAGAACTGACTTTTTTATGTGACTTTCAACTCTGAAGGTAAAGATTATTTAGGTCAAGGTCACTTAAAGTAAAAATGACAAGCAGGGTAAAGTAACATCTATTGTTACACCAAAAGATTGTATGTTTCTGTTATAAAACCGGGATGTCATGTACGAAGTAGTTGTTGTGACAGATTGATTTAAAATGTTTGGCAGTGTTGCTGTGAGAAATCAACATATCTACTTAATATTGTGTCTGTTTTAAGCTTTCCAGTAAGTGTTGTCAAGTGAAATTGGCTTGGACCCAAGAATTTAGTGTTCAAGTCTGAGTATAAGCTAGAATTTATGTGTAGAACAACAATGATCAATTATTCAACATGAATTAGAAAAATAACTGAATTAAAAGATCTTCTTCAACTGTATTAATTTTATGTACTTTGTTAATGTAATTCAGAGATCTTCTTTAACAACTGTTATAGCTATATACTTCTTTAGCAGAACTGATATTTCTTCTACAACTCTTATACTAATGTGTACATCTTTAAACAGATTATCAACTGTATCACCGAGTATGAGGAGAAAAGATTACTCAAAGCCAAGCCCGTCCCCATCTCCAGTACTGAGAAGGAAGAATAGCTTCACCATACTGTCAAGGTCTAGTTCTATGTAAGTAAAGATTTTGTTATGTATTACTTGGGGTTTTATGTCACACTGACACTGTAAAGGTCATGTGGTGACTTTCAAGATTTACTGGTGGAGGAAGACCCCAGGTGCTGCTCTGTGCATTATATCAGGCAGGGGCTGGCACTTGAGTAGAAACGCTTGCTAGATAGCTTGCTCACATGAAAGAAACCAAAATTCCTGGCATTTAATCCCACAGCAATGAGTGCAAGTGGTTTGAAGTCAATGACCTTAACAACTTGACCAAGGATTTCATTGTCACTCAAAATGTTGAAAACTGAAATGTTGAGGGCTCAGTTTGATTTTGCATGTTCTTGGACAGCGGTGGTCCATGCCATGTTCCATACACACACCTGCACATAGATTATAATAAGCAGAAATCAACTTTTGAGAAAAAAAATCACTAGGTAAGTCAGTACTTCTTCAGACAAATTTCTCCAATGTTCATTGCCTAGTGGATATAGTTAGACAAAGTAGCACTTTCCCTGCATCAAGGATCATAGGTTTGAGCCCTTTAGGGGTCACAAACATGTTTCCTTGTATGACACCAGTATTGTACAGTTCCAGAGAGAAGACTGTCTCAGATAAGCTGGCAATCAAACGAAAATAATGTTTAACCTAAGCTCATAACTATTTCATAATAAATAGATACACAATACATTGCCATAGAATGCAATGAAGAAGCTCTGAATTATATTGACAAAAAAGAAAAACTGTTCATTGCATGTACCAATTACTGCTATTTAGTGTCTACTGTAGTATTTGTAGCCATATATCTCTTAAAGCTTATAAGTAAGCTAGATTTATAGTCATTCTAAATATGTATATTAAAGAAGCTAAAGCCTCAATACAGGTATTTAAATAGTTGTAATATTTACTTTGATTGAATGAAAGTCGATTTTCAAATATTATATTTGAATAAGCTAGAATTTCAAGAGTCATTTCTTGCCCTTTACTTAAACCCGAGACAAAAAAATTAAAGAAATTGTTTGTAGGGGATATACTTGCAGTGGTATGGCTTAGATTGTTTATACACTTCATGAAATGGGTTTATTGTTCATTTCCAAGCCTCGTTCAATTTTAGACTTAAGGTAGTACACCCCTAATGCGCTATCTCCACTTTGAAATGAGCTAGAATCACTGTAAAGTGTATTGAAACTGAGGGGCGTGGGTTCGAACCCCAGAAGGGGCAACTTTTTTTTTCTTTTTTTTTTTCTTTTTAACATATTTTATTAATCTCCCAGATCCCTAATGGAAGAAAAAAGTGTTTCATTTTAATAATATAATTTTTGTAGGTATTTTTTTACAAAATAATGCCAAATTTAATAGCAAATATGATACCATATATTTTCAAAGGTTAATAAAATAAAAACTACACGGTAAAAGTATTTTATATTTTGCAAGACCAACCAATATACATTTAAGAAAATTTAGGCAAACTTTGAAAACAGCCCCTCATTGTGGAAATTTTTTGGAATATTTTAAATAAGGCTTTTTACACATGGAAATGGTGAAATAAGTGTTAAAAGTGGGTGGGGAAGGGTTACATTTTTATACATATCAAAAACATTTCGTTTAAAAACAATCATTTTGCTTGTTTAATTTGATACCTAAATGTCATTATTTGTTTCTTAACAATGAGCAATAGGAAAACATTTTTCATAATGATGATATTATAGATTATTTAGAGTTTCCTCATTTCTGAAAAACACTCTTTTAATGGCAAAGTTTAAGTTAAGAAAAATGTCCATAACTCATAAACCACACGGTAAACTTTGTTTAAATTTTGCATACAGGTGACATTTAAGGCATATAACTGTCCTATGTTGTCAATTTTACAGTTCCTTATAGTGACCATTAGGGGTGTACTACCTTAAATGATTTTGTGATGGCCCAGTAAAACTCCAGTTAAGTTGAAAAGTTTAAAAACATGGATTTTGAAATTCATATATAGATAAACTGGGACACTGTAAAAAAAATGATAAAGATACATGTATATACTCAGAATGTAAACATGTAAATACACACTTATATCAATTTATTATATTGTGATTAAAATAATTATTTATGAAAAAGTTTTATTATTGCTTTTAGTATATTGACACCATTGAAGAAATATGTATATTTTTTGACACCTTTGAGGAATTTGTACCTTACAGAATCTATTTCTGTTTTGCAAAGAAATTACTATTAATCACATTTGGATGTATAATTATAGTAATGAAATTGTCAAATTGTCAAAACGAGGGGTATTTATTGAACTATTTAGCATTTATCACACTTGCTAGATTAATCTAAATCCATATGATTAAATCTATTTACCTTGTACAGCAGGTATTTAAATACTCTTGCTTTAATTCTTATCTTAAGAGATTTTTTCCCCTATTCTTCAAAGCACGTTTTAAGTATTTCAGACTGTTGTGTGAATTGATCAATAATCCATTAAATAATGTGTTCAAAATGGGGTGACCTTTTTACCATACATTTTATTATTGTATTAATGAAACAATCAGATTTTCAAAGAATTATTTTAGATCTTTTTTTCTTTTGTGTAAGACCCATAGGGCAAGAGGTCAGATTTTTAATTTAATTGCAATTGGGGTACAATATTTTGTGTGAAAGTTTTGTAATATATTTTCCATTACAATGAATTCTATAAAAGAATAAAAGTTTATTTCTACAGTTAAGTGATAAAGTACACCCCCCCCCATCACCCCACTCCCAGATTATTTAAATAAATGATGAATGGAAATTTTAATATCATAATATATAGTCCTTAATATACAATTTGAAATCTATTGTAAAGTATACCCATTAAAAATTTCATAAAACCATATGTCAAGATTTAGTCATTTACTTTCTTTAAAAGTACAGAATAAGAAAAGTACAATATTGTAGTAAATACTGAATATGAATTAACTATATAAATCATCAAAGATGCCATTCATCCCATCTCTATTGTTAAGGCTGTATGAAAGATCTCTTACTTGGTTAAAAGAACAAGATGGAAAATGATTGAGTAGCCATTTATATAAGCACACATTTATATAAGGACATCTGTCCTTTCATCAGTCACACATATTTTTGGTCATAGCACCAGATTTTCGGTGTGTTGGTACTTGTAAGATCTGTGCATAGCTACCCATCAGTGGGTTTTCAGGTTAAATTTAAGACAAAAGTCAAGGTTTTTAGGCTATAGACAGATTTTCGTCATAGTAAGGCAGTTTTTTGCGATGTTGAAGCATAATAGGCGGCCATGTTGAAAGCCATCTTGGATTCTGAAGCGTTGTGAAAGCAAAATTTTGTAAGATTTTGATATTTGTGAAGGAGAAACTATATATTTGCTCTGGTGTAAGTTTCAGATTTGGACAAAAACAAATTGATTAAATAGCCCTTAGCATTTAGGCTACAAATACATATTTGTTTTTGGGTGCTAGTAAATTTATTTGATTTAATATTTTCTGCAGTCTGTAAAGAAGTTCATTGACATTACTCGAAAAACTTTGTATCAGCATTTATTTTATTTCACAGAAATAAGTAATGTACAAAATAACATTGCCATGTTTAAAATAAAGACGTAAGGTATAAATTTACAATAATAATAATACTGATAATAAAGTTCTGATTCTAAAGAAATGTCTTTACTCTTTGTCACTCTCACCCTGTCATTTTAAGCAATATATAATAAACAAATAAACATTTATGGTCCAAAAATTAACAAAGTGAATCTACATTTCATTTCACTGCATTTTTGAGAAGGGTTTATGATCTATGCAATGTTTCTGTTTTGCTTCTTTAATAACCTTAATACTAAAAAAACATTATGAATTACATGTACTGAAAACGGAAATGATTCCAATTCAGCTAAAAGAATTTAAAAGATAGGTAATGTCTTTATATATATTGACTACAGGCAATAGTTAAGAATCTTGCACCGGCTGCTAGTACAAAATATAAGGATCTTACACTGGCTACTGGTACAGACCCGAATATCTAGTTTGAGGATAACTGTTTACAACAGTATAACAAGGCTCTGTTTGCACCAGTGTAATTAACAGTAGAAATTCCTGTCCGATATGCAAGAAATAAAGATTCTAGAGAAGTGTTGTGATCTCTCTAAAGCAGTGAAAACTAAGCTGTTGAATGCAGTGAATACAAAAATATGTACAATTGTAGGTGAAAAATTGCAGCCTCAGTTTTAATTGAATTTATTCATATGTGACAAGGAAAAGTATGAAGTCTCTGTTATAAATGATCTTAATTCTACAGAAGATCCCCTAAAAAGTAATGAAAATAAAAACAAAATAGCAAGAAATTGTAAGTTTGCTGCAGAAATAAAGCATCTACAGCTTCAGAATAGTATTAATAAGGGAAATTGGAAACAGAACTGGAGCTTTGACTACAATTTTGATTTTAAAAAAAGTCAAATAAATTAATTAATTAATAACAGTGATGATAAACTATTAATTTCAAACAAAAGCAAAACAAAAATAATTACAATTTTTGATTATGAACTTTTCATATGCACAAAAACGAAAGCACGAAATAGTGAAAGATGGACAAAGGTTTTTCAAAACCTTTAACAGCGTTCAAAAGAGTCCTGCCCTTTTCTTTCTTCAGACTGTTTTAAGGTTTGATTCATTAATATCCAAAATAATCACATCATCCAAATGTCTATGTATGATGATACTTGATAACTTTTACATCAGTTTCTTCAATTTAAAGACAAAATGCCATTATTTTGTTATTGATTTTTTTTTATACACAAAATCCCAGATTTACACATGAAATCTAAGATATTACACAAAAATCCAAAATTATCCATAAAAATCCTGGATTTATATGAAATCTTAGATTTTAAACAGTTTTAATGATAGTTTTTATCATGAACACAATTACACTGAAACTCGATTAAAATCCATATAAAACATTGTTTTGTTCTACAAATATATATCTGGTTCATTTCTTCCAAACCATTTTCAATTGAATTCTCTTATTACTTTGTTCTTTCACATGTCCGATTTGAAGTGTTTGGAATAAGCAGTTTATATCTTATAATGTTTGTATCAGCCCTTCACGGATATGGGCGTGGCTGTTTGATGAAGGGTGTGTTGTGAGACACGAGACGCCTGTTGGTCATGTAAATGCTCCATGATCTTCCGTGACCTTGACATTTGTTGCAGATATTTCTGTAACTCGACGGTGTTTGGGTGTCCGTTAGATAGCCGAGATACCGAGTTACTCCTCGGTGTAGGAACAAGGCCCTTTCTTGTCTGAAATGATAAACAAATAAATAATTGAATTAGTAACATTTTACAGTGTTAACTATGATAGTGACTTGCCAATATCACCTGTTGCCAGGCCGGTCCGTTGTTCTAGACATATGGTTTGTCATACTGTTATAATATATAAAATATGCTCTTAAAGTGTTCTTTACATGTAGATTCTGACTTTGTTAAGTCAAATTTACCATACCGGTTAAATGAAACATTGATTAAGGTTCTGACAATTTATATGTCAAATTCGAGATACCAGTAAAATGTAACATTGATTAAGATTCTTATATTGTTATGTCAAATTTACCATAATTTATCAAGAAAAAATAACGGAACGTTGATGAAAATGCTGTTAAAAGGCATAAATTTGTGTCAGTTTTCCATTGTTAAAATTGACTTATTTAATTAGAATCACTACAATAGGGCAAATATACAAACATGCTACATAGGTATCAATTAATGCTGTCACCCCCATTATTTGTATATGAAAATTACAGGACCGAAATTCATTGTTGAACGTAAATTGAAATTTTAAACTGTCATTATGATTTTATTGATCAGATTTCATGATGTGTTTGAATTGATCCAAAATCTTTGTGCCGATATACAGTTTATATAGACATTCGATGAAATGACTTGTGATAAATATAGAAAATGATTTCAGTATCGGTTTTCAGTAATTCAGTTATAGATCAATACGAGCTCTCATTAGAGGACGGTTTGAAATTTTAGTGACATTATAATTATTGCCGAAAACAAATCATGAAGGCTAGATAGAAGTTACATTGAATATGATATCTGTTATATATAAATGTTTCTTTTGTAAAGAAATGTTATTAATTGTCAAATTAAGTAGCGGTATTTGACAGCTTCTATCCTACTTTATTTGATGGAGGACTTTTAAGTACAGACAAATTTAGTATCTCAATGATCTGGGGAAAAAAATCTGTGCAACTTTAAATTGATATATATACTTAAAAAAAAATTAGCAAACTACTTAAAAAAATTTAACAAACTTTATATTAAAGAGATTCCCACGTTTATAAGTTTAATCTTCATTGGGCAGTTTTGATGTTTATAATTATTATCTATATATATGATTACTGCAAATTTTAATGAAAAACAGCTATTAAATGTGTCGTTGACAAAAAATGTATTTTAACCTAATATCATTATTAATATATGCAACTGAAATGCAAAGTTATGCACATATATAAAATACGAAATGTTACTTCAAAAGAACAAACTTTCATATCATTAATCATACATCAAAATTTTTGTTGAAAATTTGTAATCTGCTTTACATGAACTAACAACATTTCCCTTTATAATGTTTACCCAAATTCATTCATTGAATTTTATTAAAATATTTTATTTTTAACTGAATTCCATCAAATAAATACAGTACAATCTATGACAAGCTGCTTTCTGTAGAGCAGAACTGGTAACCTCTTTACAACATCCACGGTATAAATTATTCCCAAAAAACACTTTTTCATTATATTTAACCTTTGTATAGCAATAACCTTTAACCTTTGTTAAGCAATATGACCTCTTTACAACAACATTGTCAGTTTGATAATGTCCCACAGTAATAATTTTTTCTCAATAAATTTAACCTTTGTAGAACAACAGCTCTTGGCAACAACCAAAATCTTTGTTGTCACAACAAAGGTGGTTGTTATGTAGAGGTTATACTGTAATATTGTTACATTATATATTTCTTTTTTATATATCATGCAGTGAAACAGTGAAAAACAAATCATTGAACTATGTTAGGATCATAAATTTTCAAGAGCTGCTAAATCCTTTTTTAAGTGGACCACTATCAGTGTTTACGTAGTACAAAATGCCATCTGTGCATTATTAATGTGAAAAAAAAATTAAGTGCATTTTGTCAATGTAAGTGCAAATTGCTTTTCAAGTACTTTTCAAAACATAGAATTATGATCTTAGAGTTTATTTCTGTATTGCTTGATATGGAATGTTTTAGACTAAAAGCTGTTTATTCCAGTTACAGCAGATCTATAGTGTAAGCAACTAAATATTTGTGTAGAAGCAATAGTTATTAACCCTTACCTCTCTTAATATAATAAATGGACTTGCGCATCTTACAATCTAGACAAAACCATTCTCTATTTTTAGGGAAATTTTCAAAAATATATACTACTAGCAAAAAAAAAAAAAAGCACAGTCACCATGAATTCAGACATCCATGCCGGCTGAACTTGGTCTGCTCTGGTCGCCTGGCCACCAGCAAGCTAATGGTTTATATTGTAACTTTTAAATGCCCAGTTATTGTTTGTTATGAATGTTGACAATGTAAAGTAGCAAAATTAATCGAACTTTATTTATTTACTTACTACCTTGTATCAGAATTGAAGCGTGAGTTGTTGAAATATTTGAGTATTGATTAGGACGGAAGGACCTCTTTCCTTTTATCTTTGACAAATACCAAAATTTAACTGTGCCACGCTGTAGGCGCTAAAATCAATCGGTATTACATCAGAGAAGTGTGATATATTTACTGACTGCTGTCACTTTCAACAGTCGTAATCACTTAATTAAAATATAAAAGTGTCATGTCAATAGCCGTGAATGTATTTAGTAAGATATAAGTACATTTATGTACGTGTTCTCACTGATAAAATGTGTCGAGAGTCTTAATAGGTAAGTGTTAGAGACAAAAAAAACGCAATAAAAATACAAAATAAAGTGGACAAAATACATATTTTTTTATCTATGATTCTAGAAATAGTCTATCATTTTATACTGCTACTGTAGTTGATAGCTGTCTTGATTGAAAATTTAGTTACATTTCAAACAATTTAATTTAGTTTGGAAAAAATACAACAATTCTGATTTATGGTTATGACTTCCTGTCTGTCATTTTAAACAGCGTCTGTAGTTTATAAAATTTTAATGTCCTTATTGAAAATTTAGTTTAATTTCAAACTATTTCATGTCGTTGTTTTGTTTTTCTTCACTCTAATAAAATTTGGGATTTGGGATTTTAGTGGTGTTTTGCTCAAAGTTTGGATGTTTGTTTAGATGAAATTCCAAGTATGAAAATATTGTTCTTATCTGGAGATTTGTGAAATAAATACATACTATTTAAGAGGCTCTATGTTAACTGAGATGGTCAATTTAAAAAAATCTTTGTGTTATTTTATTAATTTTTAGAAAGTATTTTAGTTTTAAACAAAGAAGCTGTGGACGTAAATCAAGCTGTTGCAAAATGCTCAGATTGCAAAATGTCAAATCAGCTTAATTTGTTTATCTATACCAGTAATGAGCGGTATAGACGGAAAATCTGAAAATCTTTTTTTCAAGTGCAACAATTGATCAGAATGTTGTTTGTGATTGAAGAAAATGTAAGCTACTTACATGACCATTTTCATCTTTGTACGCAACTCTTTCAGTAACATTCATTGACAAGAATTCTTTGATAATTTCATCTTTTTCCTGCGGCCTTGGTGAATTTCCATATTTCATAGCCTGTTCATTTTCATATTTCTTCAAACGTAGAGCACTAAATATGTCTGCCAGTGCCTTTGTTTTTTGTTCCTGGTTCACCATGTTGCTATAAATAGATTTCCATTCGTTGACTCCTGTTGTGATCTTATGAGGATTGTTTCGCACTTCGCTTGGCGAGATTTGTAACGGGGGTAAAACGGAAGTTTTTTTGGGGCGCACTGGTCTTGACATATGTAAAAATTGGTTGGATTTTAGGTTCAGTCTGGGAACTGAACCTTTTCCTTCGAAGTTTTTTGACTCGCGATTAGCTTCCGATCTGTTCGTGTCTATTTGACTTATTGTAAGAAGCGATCCATGATTTTCATCAGCAAATGTCACTTTTTTCACACCTTTCTTAGACTTATTTGTGTCAATTGCCGTGTCCATTCTCTGAGGATCGTAAATACTGGGAATTTTCATACTTTCTGCTAGCAGAGCACGTGCAGCGTTTATGCCAGGCAGAGGTTCAAGACCAGAAAACGGTCTTTGTTTCTCAGATGTAGCTTGTAAGAATTTCCCAGAATCCCATTCAGATCTTTTTGAACTCGCGGAATGAATCACTGGTAACTTCAACAGATCTTTTTCTTTCTTCATCTTATCAGCATGTTCTTTCCGGTCTTTCCATTTCTTGTCGGTTGCACCAGACTTAAAACTTCCGCCACTGCTGTTGCTGCCAGCAGCCAAGTTTGGTGCACGATAAAATTTCCGCGGTGTTAGAGTCACGCTCGTGTTTGAAGACAGATCCATGGATGAGGCTATTGACATTCTGTCAGTGCTATGTAAGCTAGAGAGATTATGACTAAGTCTTTCCTTATCATAGTTGTAAGCCCTCATTGTAGAACGTAAATCCGCCTGCAGCCGATTCGTGGTGTTGTTACGTAATAAATGGTCGTACATGTTGGCCTGAAACATTACATATAAATTTTGCTGAAGTTATATTTCTTTGAAGTGAATTAATTTTCTTCACTTATCGTCAAAAGTAAAAAAATTAATATAAGTTTCAGAGGGTGACTGTTTATAATATAATTTTCATTTTGTTATTCATGTCAAGAAAATATTATTCCACACGTGTTTTAACTTGTGAAGTGTTGTTTTACACTCCTAATTACAGACTTTAAGTTATAAACTCCTAAAGTAATATAAGAGTATAAATTATATTTATTTTAAAAAATTGTTTCCTTGTACATTTGTACATCTTCCCTTTTGTAGGTCATTTCAAGATATTTGTGATAATATATCAATATATTGTTTACATGACGGTTTAACTTAAAGATTAAGTCCAAAATTTATATCAAATATTTACATCAATTTTTTAGGTGTTTTTTTTTTTTTTCATGTAAATAAAGATTTCCTTAAATTTTATATCTTTGAAAATTTAGAAAGCTAATTTGTATTAGCATTTCTAGTGAAAAAATAAATGTATTGTAATGTAGAAACTAAAATGTAAATGCAAAAGTAGTTTTATAGAAATATGCTGAAAAAGATACTTAAAACTGTCATATTTTGCAGAAAGAATTTTAAGCTAAACATACATTATACTGGATTTTTTTTTTTTACAAAAGTTTGATTTTTTTAAATTTAATTATTTATCCAGTTCAGGTTTAAGATACTTTTTGACCTGGCATATACATGTCTTGTTTCCAAAATGTTTAAATTTAAATTTACATTACCTCTCCATGATGTTTTATATAAAATCCTTGAAATTTCACAATTAACGAAAAGAAAAGAAATAACTTTATGTTCGATATCAACTGTTTCTCGTCAGTTTCAAAAATCAATGTGTTTACTCTGTCTCCGTGTCTAGGCTTCAAGGTGAAAACGAAATTTTTGATAAATCATTGTTTTGAAGAATGGCCGATGACAAGTTAAGCGATAGTTTTGAAGTTTGTCCAATATCAGACCTTGCTGTTACTTTCAGCTAGGAGTTTTAAAAGTGGTTTGTCCGATGTGTAAATCTGTTCAACTTGAGAGGTTTATCTTTTAAGTGAATTTATATTAAAAGGGAATGTTTACATTTCTTTTGACAAGAAGTACAATTGTTCTGTATAGACATTGTTATTTCTATGTTTGTATACGCTGCAGAAAGCATTAATGTATAAGTAGACATTTAATATCTGTATTTGTTCTGTACTTTCCCATTTAATGCTTATCTAATTTATTAAGATTTCAATTAAATGGAAATGTTTTCATAAACATAATTCTCTGATGAACTGCTGACTGATCATTATTGTTCTGATTTAATATTCTGTCAATTTCGTTTGCCGTAATGAGTTTCTAAAATATAATTGATTTCCTTTAGAATAAAATTTAACTAGACCAGGTATTTCTATTAAAAATAACACGTCAAACATTATATTTTAAGAGAGTAATTTACATTTATTTGATCTTCTTCAAAATTCAATTTAATCAGACTATTTGTTATTTTAACTATTTATATATTTTATATACCACATAAATTTTCAAGCTTGTCACACAATCTTTTTAGTGTTTCTAAATGAAGTATCGACTGTAATAGAAACATATTTACCATCTGATAAATTATCCTGATTTGTGAGATGAAAGTTACGGTTTTTATCTCTAGCCTGGCATATTGTTTTTCCTGCACTCGGCACCTCACAGCTTCACGGCTGATAAGACTGATTAAACTGGTAAAGTACGGTAATCGTGTCACAAATTTAACCTTTCATTAAAGATCAAAAATCTTTATTGATCCGATTAAAATATCTAAATGTCGTGTCTATTCCAGGTTTTATATCCACTCGCTCCTGTATTTAATACAATTGATTAACTGGTGCATTTAAGTCGGGGAAGAAGTAAAAAAAAAACGTCATGACATAATCCTCTCTCATTGAAAAGTAATTAAAGCCCAGATAAAGTACCTCAATCTTTGATAAGAGTAGATTTTTTATTATGATTACTGTGAATCCAATAACAATGTTACAGACTAAAATGTTTTGAGTGAAGGCGCTATATTAATTGTCAAGCAACTTTAATGAAAGAACATGGATTTCTTTTTCTATGTCATAGAATAGATCATTAATCATTAATCATAATTAATCATTAATTTAATATAAGGGGGAAGGAAATGTGTAAGCAGTCTTGCTCAATAAATAGAGCTGAGACGAGTTTACATCAGGTGGTGGTGTTGGTAGTTTTTTAATCACTCTGGATCACGACAGTATTAGCCACATTGAATTCACCAGAGCACAGGCCAGCCACTGCATCTTTACACCAGACCTAGGTTGTCACCTTTAAGACCCATAATGCATCTACCTTTACATCAAATGACATTGTTCTCATGTACCCAATAAAAGACTGAACAGTATATTCCAAGGGTCCCTGGTTTGAGTCTCAATCAGACTGTATATTTTTCCCGCCCCGTGGCATTTTACCATTTTACAAGGAAACAGTATTAAATTGGGGGACTCAGCGTAATAAAGGTTATGATCATAAACAACAATCTCCTTGTCCGTTACTAAAGGAAAATATTTACATAGAGATTTGTTTAAATGATTAAAGGGTATGTGTTATTTAAAACTATTTAGATAATCTAATAATCTATTGGTCTGATGAAAGTTTAACTCTTTATCGTTACATTGTACTATGGTCATTGGTCAATGGTCAGATTTCTACCTCTCAATGTTACATATTATGAAACTGGTAATTGGGTTAGTTTGAATAGTGTATATGTGATAAAACTTAAATTGCTATCAAACTCAGGCTTTATGCTTTTTTTTGACAATTTTTCAAAACAAAACAAAAAACAACATTTGCTTCAGATTTCTTGCATAAATTTGTATGTTATTAAAAAATATAATTCCGAAATTGATAATAATTCAAAGTCCTGTTTTGCTTTTACTACTACTTTACAATAAAATGTTTGACTTCACTTAGAATAGAAAATTACTGGTAAAGATATATAAGCATAAAAAGCCATCTCCTTTATGTTCTTTTTAAAAATATCAATAGTTTGTATTTTGATACAGTTGTGGAGATGCTAATGGACTTTTGAGGTCAATTATAATAGAAAAGAATAAATGCTGGTAGAGGAATATTATAGAAAGGAAATGCTTTTATAAACTATCATAGAACGGCCATGAAGGTTTAAAATATTAACAGAAACAATAATTTCCATTATTGAGGTGAATCAATATGAACAATGGTATACATTGATTTTCTCCAGTAACTTGCTTTGATTTAAATTGCCTTGTTTCAGTCCAGAAAGCAAAATTTAAAAGCATTTTTTTTTTTTTTTTTTTTTTGATAAATGAATTCCTATTTTTTTTTTTTTTTTTTGTGGGTTTTGAATTTGTGTGTTAAAACCTTTGAATCATAAGATTTCTGCTCCTATCTAGCTGATTTTTAGGAATTATAGTTATGAAATTAAAAAAAATCTCCTTCACAGATTTAAATACATTTTCATGGCCAACCATCCATGACTACTGCAGATTCCTACCCTTTCATTGCCCTGCTTCTGAAAGGTATTGTGACCTAAGTTCTTGATAAAAAGAAAACATCAGAGTTCTGCAGGTGTTATGGTTCTTAATTGGTACTTACATTGTGGGAATACAAAATGTTCATTTTTAAAATGACACCTGGTTGACATGTGAACGGCTGATAATATATTCCACAGACGTAATACTTGAAGGAATCAGACGTAACACTTGAAGGAATCAAAGCTTACATGATTTTTCACCCTCTATCCTATAATCTCTATATTTACTCAGACAAGATTTAAAGTACATAAAGCTGTGAGAGTTTTAATATTTTAAGTCTGCTATAGGTGTATATTGATGTACATTAAAACAAGTTTACCCTACAATTTGTAATATGTTCAGTTTTGTTTAAGAGGATTACTAGGTCAGTTGGACAGATTAATATATAATATTGATTTAAAAAAAAAAAATGTACAAAAAATAATACATAGTATTTTCTGTTTTTAAAAAAACCTTGTCATTGAGTTGTTAATGAAGAAATGTTGTTTGTCCACTCATCTAATGCTATTTTCTATGATTTTTTAAGATTGAACCATTGTTATGATACTTATCAATGGCTATACATAATTGAAAACCAAAAATAACTTATTTTAGTAGTATGGAAGGATAGGTCCATATATTCTTGTTATATGTTAGTCTGTAGTCAGAAAACTTTACTAAGTTTGTTTTATTTATAGCTGCTGTTCTATGGGCTGTCACTAGTCTCATTCCCAATTATAAAGTAGTATCCCTTTCCCAATTATTGACAAAAATTTACAGTCATGTCAAAGATGGTAATTGTTGTAAGACTGTTCACTGATTTCATTGACAGATATGCACAAAGTTTATTATATATATTTAGAACATAATCTTGTCCACCAAAGAGGCTTTCCAGGATAACTAACCAGTAATGATCAATTTCTCTGCAAGTGACTACGATATTTTGTATTGCAATCCCAGTGATTTATAAATAAGTGGTAAAGACAAATGACCATTACACTCAGAGGTGTACAAGAACAATTGTCACTAAAAATGTTGCCAATGATCAAACTAGGGACACCTGGTTTACAAATCAGATGCTATCTCTAATAAGCTAAAAGTGCAAACTTAAAAAATGGGGGAAAAATAATATAGGGAACAAGAAGAGCAAGCTGCTTTGTGCAGATATATACTGGTTGCATAGGTACATATACTTTATATCCAGTACATTGTATTTGATGGGGAATGGTTGTAACAAATTCATTTCATCAATTTCAACCATTTTATATCAACAAGTCAGAGTTAAATAAAGTTATTTTTCTTTGAAACAACTGATATTATTTGACACAATATCAATGTAATATTACGAGTACTTTTTATCATTTCAGGGACAATGCAACATCTTCCGATACGACCCCACCGTCTTCCCCTCAGCCTACCCGTCGGTCAGAGAGACCCAGTGATACAAATGTCTTCTCCAGACTGACCAGTAGTACTGCGGGAATATCTGATAATAACAGTAAAAGGTATGTCTATGATTTATTCTTGTGCTGCATTCCTTGAGATGAGTGATGGATTTGAAAAAAAATTTTTAGAAAATAATTATATATTTTTAAGAAACGTATAAATATTATCAATCAATATAACACTTTACATGCTTTATTTCAAAATATCAGAATTTTGAAGCACTATACAATATATATTTGTTCACTACACTATACTTCTGTTATTATTGAAATATAACTGCTATTTTTGGATTTTTTGACACATTTTAGAAAATTATATATTCTTAGGTTTATTACGATTATCTTACATAACTTCTAGATGTAGGGTTTTACAAAATTGAAAATAAGTCATTTACAGGTACAAAATCTGCCTAGGACTTAGAGAACCTGTCATATGGCCATATCTATGTTATTATAACATGAAGAAGCTATATTGTATTTTGTTAAATGTAAAACTATGTAAATGTCACAATTATCTAATGAAAAGCGACATTATAAACATGCATTATAATAAACTGTATTATAATGATGTCACATGACAAAAATATACTGTTTAACACTAAACCTGCTGACCAGACTCTATACTAGGGGCTATGGTGGTAGACATTGTTCCCTTTTGGTTTCAGCTGGTTGTGGGCTAAAGTACATGTAGGTAATATAAAATCATCAGTCAGTATTTTCCAAATATGAATTCATTAGGGTATGTAGTCGTTGACCAACTCCAATCTTTACTACTCTACCAAAACAAACAAAATTAGAGAAACCTCATAATATGTTTCATGGAGGATAAAAAATTGTTAAAAGTTTTGATAATTGAGTTGTAGGATGTCATAAACTCTAGGTTATACTGTAATAATGCATTGGTATATTTGTATATATTTACAGAGGATATGTTGTACCAGCTAGTGCCAGGATAAACACCAAACAAACAGGTCCACTTACATGTACACATACCGCTGAAGGTCATTCTAAAGCTGTTCTATCTGTTACAGCAACAGAAGATTTGTTATTTACCAGTAGTAAAGGTGAGTAATAGACTCTTGTTTCAACTTGAATCCCCTTGTGGCTAAGGGTTTGCCTTTAAGAGGTACTGGAATTGCAGTCACCATTTATCCCTGCATTATCATAAGAGGGGACTAAATGGGTTTAAATTACTGAAGATTGTTCATCTCTTAGCTCCAGCAGGTGAGGTGGTCTTGACACCTGAAGTTCCTTTAAGTTTGAAATCCCCGAGGTCAGCCAATATCAACTTTCCTGTTTCGGCGCCATATGATGTTAATTGTCTTGGTGCACTGTAAAAACAAACAAAAGTAACCTTTAACATGATGTTACCAAATATGATTAGCCTTGGCGACCAGTATAGAGCCAGTTTTGCACAGTCTGTTCAGGAAATGTAATGCAGGGCAAATCCATTACAACAATTAAGCAGGTCACGGGTTAATATATGTTAGGGAGGGAATATGAGTGCTTTGTTAACAAAATCATTTTGTCCTTACTGCTGTGGTATGAATAAAACAATGAGACTTTAGCCAGAGCTCTTGTGCTCACTCATCATCTGTCATTTGTGTGTCTATTCATGCACAATTTGGTTTGTAAACAACATATTCTTAAACCTCTTCTAAACCAGTTAGAGATTTCATAAGAATGTTCTTATATCAAATCCTTTCATAGAAATGTATTCCATGTAGAACTATGATTGCCATGGTAACAATAAGGAAAACCTTGAGCAATCTGTTTGTCTGATTGGAAATTAAAAATTAAAATAACAGTCTATAGTAGTTGAGAAATATTTAACAGAGTTGACTGATCTTTTACAATTAAAAAAATACATAATGATGATTCTTGTTTTAATATTTTAGATCGTACGGGTCGATGTTGGGATTTGACAGAGGGAAGAGAGATCGTAACATTTAGCCGTCATCTGAATAATGTTAATGTGATAAAATATAGTCCTGAACAGCGCCTTGTATTTACTGTGTCACAATCGTATATCTGTGTGTGGGACGTGAGACAATTTACCAGAAACTGTATCAAAACTTTAAGGTAAAAAGAAATTGTGTGTGTGAAAAAGATACAAGGTCAGCTCAAAGATGTTTTAATATCATACCTTTTATTTTTCATTAAAGGCACAGAGTGTCTCATAAATCAATAATTTTATTTTTAGAAAGATTAAAAATATGTTTAATAATTTTGTAATTATGGATTTAGAGTTGGATGTTAAGCAACGGAAGAAAGTAGCACTGAACATACAGTAATGTGCTGTAAATGTAGCAAAATGTAAAAAAAGTAGTATCTTGACTTCCATGTTGATTTGCATCTGTTAGACTAATATATAAGGCTAAATAAAAGTGAAAATATAGAGATTCTAGTTCTTAAAAGTAGTCTGAATTCTGTTCAGGTTAGTTTGTTTTAAACATATTTCATTCAGCTTGATTGTTGAGAAAGGATGAAGCTTATTTGAGGCACTGTAAGTATGTTCCCTGGAACTAACCTGTACTGGTGTCATATGAGGAACCATGGTTTTGAGCCCAGTTGCTTTTGAACCCAAGATCATGAAATGATAGTGAGTAACCACTGTTGTCCCTTTATATAGATTTGTTAAAAGTAACACAATATGATTGCAATATATTTCAGTTCATCTGGGTTAACACAAGAAGAGCAGGTAACTAGTGAGACACGTCAGATTGATCTACCTAGCGGGGAACATCATATAAATGATATAGCTCTAAATAATAGTGGTCTTCTGCTCTACAGTGCTTCCGGCAACGTTGTCAGAGTCTGGGATCTGAGAAGGTATGTCATTGTTGGATTATTTGAATGAGTGGTAGAAATAGATAGATTTTATCCTGAATTTGGTTCAAAAGAAAAAATATTTTAATTGCTTGCATTAATGCTATGTCTATACTATAGGTTAATAATAGGTTATTTTGAATCCAGTAAATTCTACAAACCAGTAGATAGTGAGTTTTTAATAAAGGGTGTGATGATTTGATGAAAGGAAACATGTCAAACAGACTAGAATTACTGTTAAGAACTGAATGTTGTTGCAGAATGGCACTTCAATGAATCAAATAAGAATGAGTCGAACAAGCATCACCAGAACAAAAGTTTTGCTTTATTCAGTCAATTTGTTCAAAGGAGAGGTTATTACAACATTAAGGTGTCAGTGTGACTGGGTGGTTAAGGTCACTGTGAGATTGAATGACTTGCTGCCCTTCACAGCTGTAAGGACAAATCATGCCAGAAACTTTAGATTCTTTCATATAAGGAAGTATTCTAGCTGGCTGATGTAAAGATCAATGGTTCTACTCAGGTGCATTGTTGTGCCTGAAATAATGCACTATGGTGAATTAACAGTAAGAATACCTCCCATTGTCCTATGTGAAATTTACATTACAAAAATAATGAGGAGTAATAATAAAGGATACAGTGTAACAGTATATATATATATATTATTTTGGTACATTTGTATATTTGCAGGTTTGCAGCTGTTGGCAAGTTAAGTGGAGGTCACCAGGCGGCTATTATGACTATGGGTGTTGACAAACAAGATCAAAATGATATTGTTGTGACAGGCTCAAAAGATCATTATATCAAAGTATGTTACTGTTATAATGTACTTGTGTGCCCCAAATATAGAGTAAATGTATTGTTCCCCTTCCCAATTCCTACCACAAAAAAAATTGCTATTTACCCACATAAATCAGTGCCACCAAGATGTTTTTATTGCCAAACCAAAAAAAAAATGTCTGTCAATGAGAATTGCATCTGTTTATTTGTCTTATATATTGTAAATTTACAAACTGGAATGTATATATAAAAATCAATCTTTTATTCTAAACTTAGAGCAGTTGCTAAGTATTCCTGAAATCTATACATGTATACTTTGGATAAATATGTAATGTTCATTAAAAAAAATTTACCTGCATCACAACCCAAGAAGAAAGATCAAATTTTCTTTAAAATCAATTTTTTTTTAAGTACATTGAGAGTATGAGAAATATGTAAAATATTAACAATCAATATTATATTATAGCTTAAATCCCTGCTATGTGCAAAATATGACAATTACATCCCTTTACTTAGGAAATACATCTTGATCTGAATTGATTTGTAGTACATAGTACATGTATAATACAGTACAGCGTGGAGTTGAGAAGGCTCTAGGCTTACAATCTGATTTTCTCATAAATTTAACAAATTTTAGATAACTTATGTGGGCTTTTTATGTCATATGCTACATTAGATTACATTTGAAATATTATTTGTAAATTTTCATGAAAATTAGTTTGAATATGGAGGTGTAAAGATAGGTAAAATAAAGGGGAAAAATCATGTTACACATATTATGATCCAGCTACTCTGTGTGATGGCATATATGCCCTTGTCTGTCCGTACTGCTGCCATGTTTGTTTGCAAGACAGACAAAACAGTGGAATTTGAGGCTTTCGGGTTCTAAGGACATATTTACTTATATTCTTAATTTACTACAATTAAGTATATTATTTGAACAATATATGTAACAACCATCATTAGAAAATAGATATCTAAACTAAGGAAACATCTTTCAGGAATTTGATATAACATTAGTAACTGTACATTATAAAGAATGTATTCTTTGAATTTTAATTCAACTTTTCTGTATAAATGTTTGTAGGTATTTGAAGTGATGTCAGAAGGTGCTGGTGTTTTAACCCCCAAGTATAATCTAGAACCACCACATTATGATGGTATACAGTCATTAGCCATCCAGGGTAACACATTGTTCAGTGGTTCAAGAGATACATGTATCAAGAAATGGGATCTCAGTTCTCATAGTTTAGTACAGGTAATGAATAAATTAATCTGTAATATTTTATGGTCACAATTAAACCTATGTCATACAGACATCTGTAACTATTACAATATTTTAAAGTGACATTATGCCTATCAAAGGGTATATAGTGAGTGAACAAGTGAAAATTAAATTAAGTTTACATTTTGCCATAATTCTTTTCAATTCTGTAATTTATTTTGCATGAACGATAAGGAAATTTCTATAAATATCTATCGGACATTACCTTTTAACATTCAATTTAGGAAAAAGCTGTGATTATCCCAGTGTTGCCTTTTTATATTTTTGGCAAATTTAAATTTTATCCTAAACATAGTAACTGTTCATCAATCACCATTACAACAGTCAATCTTTTGTAATATATAATCTGTTCAGCTCAACTTGACAATGAAAAAAATGAGCACTTTAAATTCATTCCAATGTTAGATTTCACAATGAATATTAAATCTGTAGTGTAAAGCCTTTTGGTCACAACAAAAATCTTTGTCTTGCAAAGGTACAGAGAATTTTTATTTTTTACATTTTCTAAACGTAGTGTTTAGAGATCACTTTGTTTCCAGATTTTTATACTTCACAACAGCAGGTGTCAAGTGCCGTGTGGCAGCTGTAAAAAGTTGCCCCGTACTTCACTTCAGTGTTGTTATATTTTTCTGGTCAATTGGGATCAATGAGACCAGCACTATTAAGTGTTGAAAATTGAGTACCGTTCAAGCCGGTACTAGGGGGCATGAGGGATGTTGCACTTATTCATTATCCCTCATGTACAGACTCAATCAAACCGAGTCTGCAATTCTTATGTAATTTTGTTGCTATTAATGCTTCCGAGGGATCACTTTGTTTCCAGATTTTGATAAATTTTGTGATGTCTAATTTTCCATCATGTTATTTTCTCCAACATTGATTTAATCTGTGTAATTAAAACAACCATTTAATGTTATAAGAATTAAATTTTATGATGACGGGGGCAGTTTTACTGTGATTTACATATTACACTGATTAAGGATTAATTAGATTGAAGCCTTTGAATTTAGCATCATGTATAGATTAACTAAATTGAAGCTTAGACTTTAATATCCTATATCATGTGTTAAATATAATTTTACAGGTATTTTACATTGTTTAATCAATTTAGCAGAATTCGCACACACACAAAAACTGTAAATATAATTTCAGTCTGTCAATGCAGCTCATAGAGACTGGATTTGTGCCATGGATTTTATGAAAGGGACCAACACGTTGCTGAGCGGGTGTCGGGCCGGCTACCTCAAACTGTGGAATGTAGACACTTGTGCACAAATTGCTGAAATCAAAGCCCACACAAGTCCAATAAATGCCATAGCAACTAACTCTTCTGCCATATTTACTGCCTCAAAGTAAGTACATTTTATGTATGCAGTTGTTATATTGGAATTTAAAGGTTTTTATCACCTAATTATTATTCTTAAAGTTACTATTTCTACATATTTTGACATGTTTAAAGTGCATTTTTAGGACTAGGTTAAATCACAGTTCTTTTTATTCTGATCTCCTTTCTTTGACTATTCAGAGAAAAGGGAGACAAAATACTTCCAATTCTACTGTACTCAACAGGGGTCAACATCGGCGTCACAGTTTGGTTGAGTTTTTACAAGCAAGTTTTATCTCCAAAACTGCTAAAGGAAATGGGTTGGAACTTATTTGAGAACATAATAGAAGGTCACTGTCATAGATTTTGACATAATTATGGCCCTTTTTAACTTAAAAAATTCTACATGATCCAGCCCTTGTTTTTCTATCAAGCACTTAGAATAGTGGAGCATGCTGTCCAACTGACAGCTCTTGTTACAAATAAATGTTCATGGAAATTAACAATACTGTGATATAGGTAGAATAGGATTATCTGATTCCATTTGTATGATGTGTAGGTTATTAGTCAGAACTTCAGTAAAGCAAACACTAATGAGGGAAATGACCTTCTAATTAAAAGAAATGAAGCATTATTAAAATGTTTTCTTTGTAACCTCGAGAATATAATTACGTTAAACTGATAGCTTCTCCACAAAATTCAACAAAGCAGTTTGAATTGTGAGGAGTGGTTCAAAGAAGATGAAATAGACCCAAAGGAGTAAGAATAAGCACAAAGCTATATAGATTGGAGAAAAAAAAGAGATAAAATAGACCCAAAGGAGTATGATAAAAGGAGCATGATAATGATCACTAAGTGGGAATGACTTTGAATGGTAGAAGAAACAGATTTATCATATTTAAGAAGTACAGAAAATCCTAAGTAAAAAGAGTAGTTTTAAAACATTATGGGTTTAAACTTATAAGAATATACATGTAGTACAGTTCAACCTCTGTAGAGCAGTACCCTCTAATAAGAAGATTTGGTTGTTGTGGACAGGTGTTGTTCACTTGAAATGGAAATTTGAATTAATTGTGATGTTTAAGATGGTGGAATTTGAATTCTATTGTTAATCTATTGTTATAAAGAGGTTATTGTTATAAAGAGGTTATTGCTATACAAAGGGGTCTCTCTGTAGAGGTTGTACTGTATAAATAGTGATAATAAACTACACCATTGTTTTCTTAATTTATTATTTACTTATGTATTGCTTACAGCGAAACAGGGGTAAAAGTTTGGCAGATGAAAGGCGTAAGTGATTTATCTCCAGTGTTGTCTTCCTGAGTGTCCGTCTGCCACGATCGTCTGTCGAGACACGTCTGCTGTGACTGTCTGCAAACCAGCATTGCTTTGATATATACATATAAGCATTATAGCATTTTATATTGTGTTTGTGAAATATTTATAGGTGCAGTGGTAGACAAGTTCATTGCAATAGTTTGAGCTCAATAGATTTTCTCTCTCTCTTTCTGCAGGTAGATGATAGTGAATTTAGCTTGTCAACTTTAACTTGTTGCATTATTGAAATTGCTCAGTATTTTTGTGTCAGTGAAAAAGTTACAAAATAGGCATAGTTGTGAGAAGTCAGTATTTATATATAACACCAACAACAGTGTCAATATTGACTTCATTTAGACTGATGTTAGATTGGTCACATGGCCTGTTCCTTTACTTTTACTGCTGGTGCATGTAATATGGTTATTAAAATTATCATTTTGTGTTTTTTGAAAACAATATGCCATTTCAATGCAATTATTCATCTCTTTATTAATGCAGCTTATGAAAATATGATGCTGTCCCACTGCCTATTTAGGGTTATATTTAAATATTATGTTAATAAGTACATGTGGACAATCAGGCACGATGTGCTCTATTGTATAGGGTATATGGGAATACACAAGAAATAGTCAATATTAAGATATTCTAACACAATTACTGCCATTTATAATTGTTGTTAGTATGTGATTACATAATGTAATATAGTCCTCATAAGTGTACAGAAATTCTTTTTCTACACTTTTTGTTTTGATGATAAAATAATTGTCACCGTATAAGTCAGTAATTGATCCAATAACCATCTGTCAGGTATTAATTAAATAAGATTCAGTATATGCAGAACCTAATTTATGGTAGGACAGACTCGATGCATGTTAAATACATGTATATTATGGTAATGACTAAGCTAATAATGTTTTATGTATTGTTTATCACAAATGAAGCAATGCAATATTTATTTTGCATTAATATATAATAAATTGTAGTGAAACATTTTAACACCTGCCTAATAGAAAGGTTTGCTCAATTGCATTAGTTATAGTAATAGAATATAATTATTGCCTTTTATCATCAAAATGTATCAATATCTCACTTTATAGTCCTGTTGTTTATTCCTCTATGTTGTCAGTGAAAATATACATGTATATAAATATTCCTACCTACTTTACGGACATTTAAGGTTAGATTGTTCAATCTTGTATGCTCGTAAACATCTTTGAATGGTAAATTAAATAATGACTATTATATATATAGATTTGTCTCAAAAGCAGTTCAATGTTGCGATAGGAAATTTATTTCTAGTTGAGATTTAGTACTGAGGATTGTGAATAGATATTAAGCTAATGAATTCTAATAGAGGTATTTGCGTGATAATGAAAGGGTATAAAACTGTTATAAGCCATCTATTATCTGCAAAATACTTCAATGGCGGGTACCGTAATTTGAATGATATTAACATACAATGTATGTGAGTTAAAAGAAAAACGATCATTATGAATTGCTGTGACAATAGGTTTCTATGACATTGCTTACAGATTCATTTCCTGGTCTACCTAAAATAACTTCATTAGAATACTTGATCAGGGAATGTTTTATTCTGTTCATTAATGATATCAATGTGTGGTAAATAACAGGAATATTGTTTGTTAAAATCTTTTTAAATAGAATGGGAAGGGACTGTTATTATATAAGAACAGCATGTTTGTATAGTTCTTGTAATCTATACAGTATTTATTTATACCCATTAACTGCTGGAACCGTAAATTATCAGCCTTTGCCACCAGTATTTAGCTAGGCAACCCTGTACATCCATGCAGTCTGACCAGGCTCTTCATGGTTGGCTGGCCAACATTAAAATGTTCATCTTCATGTAAAAAATTCGATGTTGGGTTAAGTTACAAAAATGGAGCTCTAATACTAATGTGAAGAAAGTCAACAACTTTTAATAAGAGTTTAAATCTTTTAAAACGGAAAATTGTCTTAGTGATCATCGGTAAATTGATATGAAACACAAATTTTACTATTATTATGTCCCTGTTTAAATAGATAGGTAGGCTCAGAAGAAGAATTGTTGTTTTTAAATCTTAAGATTCATCATGTGAACTAATTGAATATAGATTGAGAATAGGAGAGTTCACTGTTGCTGTTTGAAGTTGATAGACAGAATAAAAAAGTTTAGGTATTGTTAGCTTAACTGTTGACTGCTAATGCTCATATTTTATTATCATGTTTGCTATATCCATTATGTACATAAAAATAAATATTTATCCTGTTGCTTTACCAATTATGTACATAAAAAGTGAATATTATCCTGTTGCTTTATCCATTATGCTCAGTAAGGATGAATACATGTATTATTTATCCTGTTGCTTTCCCCATTATGTATAGAAAAAGTGAATATATATCTTGTTGCTTAGCCCATATGTGTATTAAAGATTTTTATCCTGTTGCATTACCCATTATGTACATAAAAAGTGAATCTTTATCATGTTTTATGTACATACAAAATTTATCATTGTTAACGCTGATAAGGCTTTTGCTACAATTGTTGCCATAGTCCCAAAACTATAGTGTTCTGTAATATCAAAATGTTTGTAAATAATATATCATGGTCATAAACTTTAAATTTGTGTATCAGTCTGATAACTCCTGCTGTGATTGGTTGATACCAAATTTGAAATTGACCAATGACAGGATAATAGTCATAGTATTCGAAGTTTTGACCTAGAATTGTCCTGTTTTAAATGTGATGTGTTGTTAGTTGTTAAGGAAGTAAATCTTGTAATTAATGCTTATTGTATTTATGTAATTAATGAAAAATTGAGGTTAATTAATAATTATATTATGATGATATTTAATGTCACTGTTTACTGCAGTTATTTCATCAAAGTTGTCACTTCAGCAAGTCCAGGAAAGGTTATTAAACAAGCCTGTGTCAAACATTTGTTCTTTTAATAACATGATATTATCAAGCATAAGAAAATGTCAGACCAAGAGTTAAATTAACAAATTCACTATGACAAGAACATGTGGTTGATAAAGTTAGGATGTTTTATACCAAACATACATATTTTAAATACTAACATCATGTTTATATTTCATTAAAATCCTGTGCTGAATATAAAATTTAAAGTTAAAATATTTTAAGTGAACATTATTAGTGAGTGTAGTTTTTAACTTTAAATAGTGCTTGTCATGGACAAACATCTGGTCTTACTTTTCAACTATGTGTATCTCACATTTTATTTGACGTTTTTTTTTCACTTCATGAAAGAAGTGTGAAATATCTGTGAAATCATCATTAAATTTGTAATCATCATTAATATGATCTTATATTTCATGGAAGTTTCATATCAAATTCAAAGCAGAAACTAAAATGTTATATCCATTGACCATGTACATGTAGGTCGTGCCAAAGATATTACATTGAGAGAATCTCTGAGGTCTATCTGTCAAGCTGGAAAGTTTCTAATTGACCTTCAGTGTAGTGAAATGACATATAGTCCAATGACTTTACTTTATTAATAATTATCTCTAGAATTCTCGTCAATTTATGGTTTGTTGTGCTTTGCTTTATAGGTAATTTTTAACCAGGTTTTCCAAAGGAAAAAACTGGTTATTAGATTGAGGTATGTCGGCGGGCGGGCGGATGGGCGGGCGGGTTTAAACAATTTCTTCTGTGCGCAACTCCTTCTACATTTCTCAATGGATTTTGACCAAACTTTCACAGAAGCTTTGTCATCAAGTGCCCTGGCGCATATTATCGGGGTTTTGCGATTGGATAATATTTGACCTAATTATGGCCCTTTGTTTTTTTTCCTTATATAGAATATATAGTGAACAATTTCTTCTGTGCGCAACTCCTCCTACATTTCTCAATGGATTTTGACCAAACTTTCACAGAAGCTTTGTCATCAAGTTCCCTGGGGCATATTGTCGGGGTTTTGCGATTTGATAATATTTGACCTAATTACGGCCCTTTGTTTTTTTTCCTTATACAGAATATATAGTGGACAATTTCTATCGTGCGCAACTTCTCCTACATTTCTTGATGGATTTTGACCAAACTTTCACGGAAGCTTTGTTATCAAGTGCCCTGGCGCATATTGTCGGGGTTTTGTGATTGGATAATATTTGACCTAATTATGGCCCTTTGTTTTTTTTTCCTTATACAGAATTATCAATATATAGTGAACAAATTCTTCTGTGCTGAACTCGTCCTACATTTCTCAATGGATTTTGTTCAAACTTTCACAAAAGCTTTGTCACCAAGCGCCCTGGCACATATTGTCGGGGTTTTGTGATTGGATAATTTTTGACCTAATTATGGCCCTTTGTTTTTTTCCTTATACAGAATATATAGTGAACACTTCTTCAGTGGCAATTCCTCCTACATTATTCATGTTTTACATTGCAAATAGTTACATTGTTTGTTGCTTGTATTTGTATTTCAAATACAACATATTTATCTACAATGGTGATAATTGAAAACCTGGTTTCATGGCATTGCCATGTTTCTTGTTTTTTATTTGCCAATTTTATTTGTTTGCTTGTTTATTTATACACTTTGTTTTTATCTCTCATTCAAGATTCAGCAGGCAGTGAACATCTTTGCTTCTGCTTATGAATATTGTGCTTATAGATATTTTGCTGTTTTAGGTATTTTATTAATCAGTTTTTCATTTCATTTGCTAGGCTGGCATGCAGATATTTTTTGTTTTATCTTGATAGTGTTTCTTTTTTCACGCATATTTCTATGCAGTTACTTCTAAGCTAGTGTTTCTTTTACCTTGGTCATTTACAAAGGAAGGGGGACAACTCATATCAAACTTGCATACTATAATTAATGTTTTGTCTTTGGCTTTTACATAAAGTTTGTGTAGTTAATGGCACACATGGTCTAACAATGGTAAATTCTATGATAGACATAGAGTTTAAATTATTGCTTGAAATTTAATATTTTGATAGAATTAGACTATGTGGGGTCTAAAAAAAACGTTGCCCCCATTCCTTTGTAGGGTAATGACTTTGTATATGTAGTGTATATTAAATATATTTTTGTGATGCTTTGTTTTCCTTTATTTTTCTAAGTGTTGTTGTATATTTTATTTTGCCAGTGATAACACAGTTAGAATATGGAGGCAAAAGACCGGTTCCCAGGAATTACCAACCGAAGGAAGTGATGGTACCAGCTAACAGACAATTTCCAACAACAATTTTATTTTGAAAATACTTCGCATGGGCATTTTATCAAGTGTGGCTAGTAGTGTGATATTTAAAAAATGTTGTATCAAAATAGGTTGTTGTTGTTGTTTTAGTGCGCCATTTAAGCAAAGCTTTAGTCAACTGACCATCTCTATGTTGATCTGTTGTTGTTATTTTAACTTATTCTTTAAACTTTCTCTGTAGAATTCAGTAAGATTTTTATAAAGGACATGTAACAAATATGACTTTTATGTTTGACATTAGTTTTGGGCTTCTTTTTCTTCTTCTTCTTTTTACAGTCATCTTACATGAACATGATGATTGAAGTATGACATCATAATAGGCTAGCCTGTGTATCAGTGCAGTCAGAACAGGCGTTATTTTTAAAGTTGATCTATTTAAATTAATTTGATAATTGCCTAATAACTCAAAATGGACAGTCCCAAAATTTGAAACAGAATATGTCCATTACTCAAATTCAGCTCAGTTACCAGTAAATATAAAATTATATATAATTAATATATATTATATAAAATATACATAATTTTTCATTAAATTATCATATTTTTGTTAAATTTTACACAATACCATGGATAAAGATGGTGGTCAGTGGATTTATGACAGCCATGTCAACACAGCATCTAAAAGTCGAAACTTAAATGCATTGTCATAATTTTTTCCTAAATGAAACAATAGTTGCAATATTTTTTGTAAGACTGATGTTTTTACTTCATTTTGAAAAATCCTTCGTTTTGTCTACAAGTTGTTTTTTTTTTTTCATACTTTTCATGATATCTGTTAATAAAAATGTTAAATTTCTACAAATTACTGTTACTGTTACTACATGTATACAGTATAATTATGTAAAAAAATCATAAACCGGTAAATCGGTTATCTTTTAGCATGTAATTGTTCACCATGGAATATCAGTGAGTCTCTCAGAATCTTCCAACTGAAATTAGCTTGAAGTTCATCAGATTAGAATTTTTCCACTTTATTTTTCTGTTTTGGTTTCTCGTTACCTTGGAAACAAAATGACTGTCACATTATACAATATCCTCTTTTCATTTCAAATTGTTCTCAATTTCATTTGTTTTGCAAAAACAAAATAAATTGCTTGGTACAAAAAAAAGAAGGAGAAATAATTATCAAAAACATTTATCTAGACATTGATTACTCTCCCAGTCTTCCAGATTTATTTTAAAGCAGCACGCCTCCAGATTCATGATAAATTTCATAAAAATATTGAAAATGTATTTAAATATGAAATATTATGGAGGAAACAAAGACATTGCAAACAGCTCTTACAATCCACAAAATTAATATTTCCAAAATAAGGAAAAAGCCCTAACTGCATTTAAGTCACTTAGTACAAATATGATGATATATATGGCAAAATCAGTCATTAATTGCACATAATATGATGGTATACAATCATGTATATGGCAAAATCAGTCTTTAATCGCACATAACATGTAAATTATTACTTGAATCTTGAATATTTCTTAAAATCTAAGTGAATTTTCTCAAGTGAGATTTTCTTGATATATTTTGGCTCATTTTGAGGCATGCAGCTTTATTATTGTAAAAAAATGTAAAAAGCTTTTCATCTTCTACTGGAACCAAAAATAATTTTCCTTTTTGACAAGTTCCGACCCAGACCAGCCTACACAAAGTCTGACTTAGCTTTAAAATCCCTACTGATTGACTTTTTCATCTGGATTTTTCATCTTGATATCCCAAAAAATTCAGGAAGTTTAGAGACAACCTTAATTAACAGGAGGCTATTGATTTGACAAAGGAAAACAAAGGTCATATGTCCTTACATAGTGTCATGAATTGTACAATATAAAAGCTCTTCTCTCTTTTATTATCAATGCTGAGTTCATATAGAGAAATTTATTTCCCATAATCCTGTGCTGGAACCAAATAGACCACATTCCATGGAATTCCCATGGAACTTCAATAGGTAATTATTTGACTGCATCATGGTGAGGATAATGGGATTGAATGTAAGATAAGAACATGTCATATGATCACGGTCTATTTCTAGGTTAGGTAAATGAACTTTTTACTTTACATGACTTTATCTCAGATTTCTTGTAATAGATTTTATCTAGAATTTAATCATTGCTTAGAAAGGCTTAGTTTAATAATGTTTTATAGCGTGTGTAATTCACCAGTGTCAAAGATAAGTTTTCAATAGTGATAAAAAAAGGGAAAATGAGGGTGGGGGTTTGGCCAGAAATTGTTCCATCATTATCAGGGTCCTTTTTAGGGAAGCATAGAATAGTTTACCAAACATGTATGTACACCTTCAGTGTATATAAATTTTTAATTTATTATTAAATATTTAAAAAAAAGAATGCAAGACTTCAAGCCATTTCTACAAACAAAACAAAGTTATTAAAATTTGAAATATCAAAGATTACATAGCCACTTTAATAACTGATTATTTTTAAACTGCAGTGATGAACAACATGTCTAATGCCCAGAGTAATAATCATATACCAGTAGTTTAGATTTTAAAACAAATTAAATAGGAAACTTTTTCAAAAGGTTGATTATCTTGAGTCATTTCTTGTAATCGATTGTCTGGGTTCAGTTGCCTTTGATGGTTATTATGATATGTAATATTTTGTTTTAAAAAATCTTTCTTTTTTTTCAAAAAAGTACTCTTATTATGTCTTTGTTGAATTTATGTTTTTATAATTTGTAAATTTGTTGAATCGGTTGGAAAATTGTTAGAAATAATAATATGATCTCATTTGTAATGACTGTAGAATAAAGTACATTAATTTATGATGTTTTTCCCCCCTAACTGTATAAATTAATTCAGATATACAATGTATGTCCTCTGTTGAAATCAGTTTATTTTTTGTTAAATTTATCCAAGATTAATTGTGATGTTGTTGTTAATTCACTGTTGTTTTAACAACATGATGTACATGTTTAGTTTGAATAAGAAAAGTTCTGTTCTAAAGTCAGGACTCTTTTCTGTTCTATTCTGTCTAACATACCACTTGTACATGTATAACTTATTCTGAAAAGAATACAAACAAGGCCGTGTATAAAAAAGTATATTTATAATACTTATGATATTCAGTAATTCTTCTTTTTGAAACTATCACTGTTAAATTCATGTAAACCCTTTTAAACTTACTTTTCTAAGGAACATGAAAATGTTTTATTTTGTAAGCAGAAATAACAGAAATTTTTGCTTTATATGATTTGTGTGTTATTAATAACCAATTTCCTTACCCCAGAGAAAAAGAATAAAGATAAAGAATAGAAGTTACAGGGCTAAATGTCATTTTTTTAAAGAAAAGAAAACCATCAAAATGTTATGAAAAGATGTTGACTTTGGCAGTTTTGTTGGTTTGAAATTGTTTGTGTAATATAATAGCTTTAATATTTAAATCACAATTTTAATCACTGCTTTAACTGTCACATGTTTGATGAGTATCACTGCACATGCTTTTGCTTTTAATTATATGAATTGTTTCATATTGTTCATATGTTGAAGAAAAAAAATGGCCAGTTATACTGCTTGTTCTGTTATCATTACGTTATATTGAGGTCAATATGTCATTATGTTGGTGTTCAATACATTATGTTAGGAGCTCACTACCTTATCTCTGAGGTCAAAACATTATGTCTGGGGCTTACTACCTTGTTTGTAGTCAAAACATGTTTGGGGCTTACTACCTTATGTCTGAAGACAAAACATTATGTCTAGGGCTTACTACCTTATGTCTGAAGTCAAAACATTATGTCTAGGGCTTACTACCTTATGCCTGAAGTCAAAACATTATGTCTGGGGTTTACTACCTTATATCAAAAGTCAAAACATTATGTTTGGGGCTTACTACCTTAATATCTGAAGTCAAAACATTATGTTTGGGCCTTACTATCTTATGTCAAGGTCAACACATGGTTTGGGCCTAACTACCATATGTTTGATGTGAAAACATTATGTTTGTGGCTCACTACCTTATGTCTGAAATCAAAACATGTCGGGGGGGGGCTTACTACCTTGTATTGAAGTGAAAACATGATTGGGGCTTACTATCTTGTATTGAAGTGAAGACATGTTTGGGGCTCACTACATTATGCTAGAAGTCAAAACATTATGTTTGAGACTTACTACATAGCACTGGGCCTCACTGCCATATGTTAAGACTCACTATTTGGCTCACTACATTATATTGGGGATCATTACGTTACAAATTTGTTAAGTTAGGATCATTACTGCATTACAGATGGGCTCACTTCGTTCTATGTAGTGGGTCAATGTAAGACATTTGGGCTTATTACATGATGTCAGGGGTCAGTACATTATGTTAGGGGCCAATACATTATATTAGGGGCCAATACATTATGTTAGAGGTGAATATGTTATATTATCTGCTTACTGCTCATTACATATGTCGAGACTCGGTAAATATTATGTTACCTTATGTAATGATTGACTACATTTAAGTTTAAACTTACTACATTACATTTTGGAAGTGGCTACCTTATGGAACTAATTGTATTGTTAGGCTTCATTTTTATCCATTATTGAAAGGTCACAGAAAGTCAAAATATTTGTGTAATGTGCCTGCAGTAATTACATGTACAAAAACATATGTTGATTTCATTAAATAGATTGCTTGTGCAGAGAGTGGTCTTGGGGTTTTCAATTAATTTCTTTAGATGTTCTGAAAGTCATTCTTTTACAATATAATCAGTTTAAAAGCCATGTCCATTTAGAAATTGGTCTAATTGAATAAACATGTATAACAATCTTTTAATCAAGAACCCATTCTATATATTACTGAGACCAGATATGGCATTACAATAAACACATGGACCTTGTAAGCTGATACATTTTTTATCTGCAAATATTGTTTAGTGGACATATTAATAAGTTTTTTATGTTGGCTGAAAGAATAATTTAGTCTGCTTAAACAGGTTTAGTATGTTGCCATGAGATTTTTTTTCATTTCCTTTTGGTAGTCTGTGAAATCCCTATATGTTGCTTGATTATTTTGAAAATTCCTGGAATTTGTCTTAAATTATGAAAGGAAAAGGAAATTGTATGGCTAAAAATAATTTTAAAAAACAAAAAGAATCTGATATCAGGTGAATTTGTTACTAAAAATATATGTATATATACATAGAATAAATCTTTTTTAATAGTCAAGACTTTCATTTCCCATCTATAAAATTGGACAGAAAAAAAATTCTTTATAGCTATAGTGTTTGTCAATGATCTGTTGTTATCAGTGTAATTTACACATGTTACCATAGTTACAGCTTTATCATCTACTGTACTAGTAATAAGACTTTACTTATATATAAGTATATTTGTATCAGTTTCATTCTCGTTTGGAATACCAGAATTATATGTTGTTATATGTGAACCTAGGTCTGACATTATCCGTATGATATGTGAATTTTTGATTGACATATACATGCTATATGTGAACCTAAGACTGAAATACTGTTGGGAAAAGGCGTAAAATGAAACAAACAAACAAACAAAACAAACAGCATGGAAGGGCAGTAAAGCTCTTCTTTTTCCAGTAAAGCCAGAAAGTCACTATGTGACCTTAACAGAGTCCAGGTGATTCAAAACCCAAACAAAATAATAAAACAACCTGTCTCTTTGCTGTTCATGTGTTCATTTTATAAAACATTTGGTCTCAAAATAAATTTTTGTAGATACCAAACAGAGTTAAAAGTTAATTTGTCTCTTTCACTTTCCGTGATATAGTAAGACCTTAATGTCTCACTAATGTCAGGCTTTGTTAAGTGATTACAAGGTTTATAGATTTGTACAGATTATATGAAATATTGATGTTGTTTAGCATGGCCTATATGTATTGATCTTGTCATAAACAGCTCATTTAAGACTTCACAACATGCTGATTGTTCATTCAAACAACATGAAATATCCATGAAACTAGTGACAACACTAAAATTTGCATAATCTGCAATTCATTTATTGATTTCACATGTTGATCAATATATAAAATAATAGGTTTTTTTCTTTTATATTTTAATTTGTGGATGAAAAATTGCATAATTTTGTGCCATTTCACACAGTAGAAGGTTATTCTTTCCTGGAATTTTTTTTCTTCTTTTTTTCTTTTTTCAAACATAACTTGATTATAGTTTCTTTAACAAATTGTTTTAATTTGTTATAAATGTAATCTTTCTCCAGTAAAAACATTGAATGTCACATCAAATTGAAGGATATAGTTTGAACAAAGTGTTGATATTCAAAGTAATGATTTTAGGATATGTGGTGTTTATTCATGTAGTCAACTAAAACTGTGATCATTATATGATATATTTAAAGTATTTTGTATTGTTACTACTTTTACCCAAACTTGTCAAGCCATTATATAGATCATGTCAGATTTTTGGTAAACTGTACCAAAACTTGGGGATTTGTGTCATATGAGAACTTGATACTTTGTTACAAGGCAGGGAATTGTTTTATTCACAGAACATATTTTAAATTGACCAATGGCAGAGAGTTCTTCCAAGATTGGTTCCAGAATTTTTCTATAATATAAAAAACTAATAAACCTGATGTAATTGTCTTTTTTTTTATTAAAAAAAGGTCTGAGTGTAAAAATAAATCTGCAAGAAAATATTAAATATTGGTTGTACCAGTTCATACAAATAAGTTTTTCTGCCTATAGTTTGCAATGTCAAACATACCTTCCC